TGGAAAGAACATTTGTCTCTCCATCTCTAACTTTACCTTTCAAATAACAATTTAAAATTTTTTACGTCAACCCAAACACATTAGTAATTTTAGTAAATGCATGGTTAAAACACTGCCAACTAAAAAGTAAATTGTCAAATTGGAGCAAGGAATTCACTTTAAGCATATTGGGAAAATGAACCATGTCAATACAATAAAGTTGGAGGAGGCTAGTATTGTGGCATCTCAGGTTAAGCAACAGCCTTTGCCACTGGTGTCCCTGCTCCTCTTCCAGTCTAACTTCCTACTAGTGTCTGGGAAAGAAGTGGAGGATGGCCTAAGTACTTGGCTCCAGGCTTCAATCTGGTCTATTTGGAGAATGAACCAGTAGATGCAAGCTCTCCCCTCTCTGTTGCTGTTTCAAATAAATGCTTTTCAAAACGTTGGACAAACTACATTAATATCAAAGTAGACTTTAGAAGAAGGAATGCTATTAAGGATAAATTTCATGAGCCAATTAAGAACGCACAATGTTTGTTTGTTTGTTTTACCTCTGTGGCTATCTACTTCTCTTGGTAATATATTTGCCGACAACTTACATGAGGGTTAATAAGAGATTAGATCCATCTATGTCAGAGAAGATCTTACCCTATAGCAGTAAACAAGAACATGTGAGCTAGCAAAGTAACAGTATTTATTCTTAAACACCCTAGAACCCCATTGAAGAAAATCTGATTAAACAGTCAAGGTGGAGAATTCTGACATCCACTTTGGGCACTACTAACGTAAATATTACCACACTAACAACATCTACTACCAATCCAAACACCTGCCAGGTCTTATTTGAGGTACTTTACATGTATTATGACATTTATTAGCAAAAAAGGGAATTACGAAGTTCAGGTGAAGAAAGCAAGCAGTGGTGTTCATCCACACTGAGAAGAGAAATGGACAAAGAAAGTAATGTTAACATATCAACAATAACTTTTGAATTATCTATGAAAAGTGTGAAAACATTGATTACAGCAATAAACACATTAACAATGGTCAGGCTTAGTCACTGGCAAAAAAAAGATGGGGGCCTAAACGGTGCCTCAACAAGTTAACCCCCCACCCTGCAGCACCAGTATCCCACATGGACACTGGTTCATATCCCAGATGTTCTACTTCTGATTCTGCTCCCTGCATATGGCCTGGGACAACGGCAAAGGACGGTCCAAGTCCTTGGGAGCCTGCCCCTATATGGAAGACCTGGAAGAAGCTCCTGGCCCCCAGTTTCAGACAGGCTCAGCTCTGGCCCTTGCAGTCATTTTGGGGAGTGAACCAGCAGATGGAAGGCCCCCTCCCTCCATCTCTCAGCTCTGTCAATCTACTGCAAATCCAAACAAAAATGCATAAAACCTTTAAAACTATATTGTTCCACTCAAGATATGAAAAAATTTCATGAGAACAGGAAATAATAGCTTTGTGTTAGCCTGAAACTCAAGTGTTAGGGACATCTCACTGCCATTTGTCATCAGGCGACAATCTAGCTGTACTGACATGAAGGCTATCTGATTTTCCAACATACACTTGTCAAGTTTCTGTGTTCTGGGCCCAAATGGAATCTCTTTTGCCTCTCCTTCCTTCACTAACCACCTCGATTCAGCAACACCTCAGAAGAATTATGTTTTTTAAGCCTGGCCTGCATTCAAAAGGCCACTACAGCTTAGAACAGTATCTAGGTATCATAAACAAATGAACACACATATACAATTGTTCTTACATGAAGGTATGTCTTCTCAGGTTGTACCATGTCCATTAGTCGTTCTTCCAATATCTTTTTCTCTTGTTCTTCTTAATTATCTATTTGTGTCTATAAATATAACAAAATCTATTCAATTAGCATGCATTATCATCTATTAAGCAGTTTCTCTTAACTCTAGACACAATAAAAACTCTTAGATCCTGAGATAATGTCTCCAGGAATGTTACTTCACTTTAAAAATTAAACATTTAAAGCATGCATGTGATAAGTAATAAAACAGAATATTTAATGACTGTAATAGTTTCACTCTACCTAAGACAAAGGCTTTACAGCTCAGTATCCATCAAAGTGAAAAATAAAAACAGGAAAATAAAGACTAGGTCCAGCTTTTAAACTGAGATCTTGTCCCTCTTGCCTTGAGATGGGAGTGCTCAGAAACAGTAGTTTCGTATCTCTAATCCAGTCAAACATCCTTATAAAGAGCAAACTCCGAGTTTACAAACCCTGATCCAATCATCAGATTTATGTACCATGTCTTCCAGGCCTCAGCACCTGAAAACATTTGTCTCCACCACAGCCAGCTGCTTGAGGGTTGACAGTTCCACTAACTGTCCACATTATTACCTTCTCTCTGTTTAGAACTGATTCAGGACCCAAGAACACAGGAAATTTGGGGGGTTGTAATTTAAACCAGAAATCATATTTTCTCATTTGCATTTATAGTATACTACATACTTTTTGGCAAATCCTTTTTTGAAACATGGTGGGATAGAAATGGAACAATTACTTTTTTTTTTTTTAAGGCTGCTTGGCTTAAGTGCTTCTTGAAATAGAACATGGTCCCATACCATGAACCAGTTACTTTCCAAAAATAAATTAGAAATCACTTCTATATCATTCGGCAAAGTAAGGAAAGCTACTCGAACTTTTGCTCCTATAAACTTAATCCATCAGAAAGACAACTATCTTAAATTTTTGAAGCTCCAGATATTCAGGGTTAGTTATAAAGGTTTCAGACCCTTTGGAAGACACAAAAACAAACTCATTATCTTAGGTCTATTTTTTTGAGAATGGAATAAAAGATAAATTCAGCAAACTATAAACTTTATACAATATCTAGGAGGTCTAGAAATGTCACCTCCATCAGCTCATTAATGAGGTTAAAGAACTCTGCTCTAGAAAATGGTAAGTTTAAATGTCATTCATGAGAACACAAGAAATATCTTTTATATTATATTATTTGCTTGTAAAAGTTGAGATCAAAGAGGGGTTTCAAAATCAGGGATAGCTCCCAGTCATGTAACTTCATAATAAAACATTCACACTGTAATATTCAACTTTGTACATTTTTAAAGATTTTAAAAATTTTTTTTATTAGAAAGGCAGATTTTATAAAGAGACCAAGGCAAAAAGAGAATATCTTGCATCCACTGGTTCACTCACCAAATGGCCACCACAGCCAGTCAATCCAATTTAAAGCCAGGATCCAGAAAGCCCTTCAATATCTCCCATTGAGGGTGCAGGGGCCCAAGGACTTGACCCATCCTTCGATGCTTTCCCAGGCCACAGGCTGAGAGCTAGACTGGAAGTGCAGCAACTAGGACACCAATCAGCACCCATACGGGATGCCGATGCCACAGGGTAGAGAATTAGCCAACTGAGCCACCGTGCTGGCCATAGCTGTGTTCATTCTCATTCCAGTCACCCTGTATGTAAAACAGCAAGTCCTAGCTTACCCGGTTTCTTTTCTGATCTTTGTTTTTCCTCAGAGTGTGTCCTTCCACCTAACATGATAAATGTGGTGTCTGCCTCCACTCCCTAACCAAAAGCTTTGACGGGGACCCGTTTTCCTTTAAGATTTGCCTCTGGTGTATAAAAAGTACTTAAGCATCTTTTAAAAGAATCTCCTAAAGGACTCACCACTCTCTGAGTAGGCAAATTCAGTCTGTCACCAGTAAGTGGAGTTGTCCTGGATATCTGCTTTCACACTGCAACAGCAGTACTGAACAGTCATAACATGAAACACATGGCCAAAAAGCCTCAAAATACTACCTGACCCTTTAGAGAACTGTTGAACACCATAGCACCCATCTGGCTCTTATTTCCAAACTACACGAGAAGCATCCTTCGTACGCAGAACACTACAAAAACGCAGATGCACCTTTTTTTAAAAAAATTAACACATTCGTTATTTACAGCACACATGATTTTTGCAGCTAAACGCAAAGTTAGTGTTTTCATTATCCATGTGTTTCTACCCACAAGCAAAGCTTATCAATGTTTTGCTTGGTAAAAGAACCAGAGAGAAGAGCTAGTGATGTTAACTAATCAGAACTAGAAAGCTCTTCCCTGATACATCTCAGACAAATAATTCTGATGTACACCACAGTTCTTTCCTCAAAAAAAAAAAAAAAAAAAGAAAGGACACCAAGAAAATATTTCCTTTGTTTTAGGCCATGGCAGACACTCAACAATCATACAATGGATCATTTGCCCATAAATAATTACTCTGATCATCGATTTTTAACAATTAGCTGAAAAGGAGCATCTATCTTTATAAATACCCTCTTGTCAACTCAAAGATCTGCTCAACATTTCTCAATCCCATTGTAAAATACTCTCCTTTTTATTATTGGTCTCTAAAATTATTTATTTCTATAGGTATCATTGTATCCAAGGCAATGGGGGAAAATGGATCGCTTAAGGCCTGCTGTTAGCTGGTCTATCCTGTGTGCAGAGGAAATCAAACAAGGCTTCTTTCAAATATGATGTATCATTTAAAAACAAGGCCACTCGTGGACTTAGTAAAAAGTGAAAAGGGCTAGGAAGCATCTTGAATCATTTTTGCTAGTTATTCTGAATAAACAATGATATACACAATCAGATGAGAAAACACTTGTTTATTTAGAAAAAAATTACACTGGTAGAATTCAGTAGATAAAAAATTTGTTTAAAAATGCCACTGTGAAACTTTTCCAAGATGAAAGCACAGCAATACAAAGCTCCTGCAGCTATAGACTTAAAACACAACAAACTTCTGATCCCTTGCCTCTGCCAAGGTTTGTGTAACATAATTATAAGGAAGAAAAATGGCAAGGGACAAGTGAGCACTGGTACCTTTTTCCTTTTCAAACAAATTTTAATGTTGTAAATGCATCATATAAAATGATTCCCAAGCATTACATAAGATGCTGCTCCCACGTTTAGTGACTAGCATTAAAAACAGGCCAAACAATAAATTAAAAGAGTTTTAAAATGAGGTAAATTCAAACAGTTCAATAATTTTTTTTTATTTTTCAAATAGTAAAAAGGAAGTAGATAGGGGAGTAGGGCGTACGAAGAACAATTAAACCCAGGCAATATGTAATTAACCAAAAGTGAAATTCTGTACACATGTAACCCTTATTTGCTTGTTGGAAACTGTATGCAGCACATTGTGCTAAAATATCAAACAGTTTACACTTTCAGCCATTACTGAAAATAAACAAGTAGAAACCAAGCAACAAGTTAAATTACAGTAATGCACAATTCAACAATTTTATATTTTCAGCATAGAGCAATAAAGCTGATAACTGAATAACTAAAGGAGATGAAAATGGGCTCTCTTCGATTCATAATTCCCAGCAATTTACTCAGGAAAATTATTTTCTGGTCACAGATGAACAATTTCTTTCCAATATCACCTGAAAAAAACAAAGTGATCACAATGATAGAGAACGAAGGAAGGAGGGAAGGACGAGTGGGAAGGAGAAGAGAAAGGATGAAGCAAAAAAAGGCAGAGGTGAACAGAGAGGAGAAAAAAAAGGTAAGTGGCTTTAAGAAACAAAGAAAGAAAGGAAAATTAGTAACTTCCAAAAATGATAAAGGATTGAATGCCCCCCAAAAAATAAAATATTTGCACATTTTTTCTTATTGCCCACTCTTAGAAACAAATAAAGCACATTATGACTTTTTAAAAAACAAAAAGTAGTAAACTTATTATGTGTATGAGAAGAGCTAGCAAAGAGCTGGGGAAGACAAAGCTGTGAGGACAAAAAATGACACAGCAACCAGAACATTTCAGGCGTAAGCACAGCTTATCCAAAATAAACAGAACATGTAACAAATTCAATTTTACATGATCAACAAAAAAAATGACATTACATTTTTCATAAGGACAATTTCAATAGTGACATATTAAGATGCAATGTATGCTAAATTATAAAAATTGTTTTAAAAATATATTGACTCAATTATACTCCTTTCCTTATGTATTATTGACATTTTTCAAATACTGCATATCGAAATCAATGCAAAACATGATCATTACAATATGTGGCAAATAGCTTCATATCTGCCTAACATTGTTCTCAAAGTTTAAATAAATGCTCAATACATTACTGATGAAAATACTACATTCACATAGTTCATAAAACCAGAGCTAGAAGGGGCCTTAGAAAATCACACTTCTATGAAATGCTGACAAATAATTTACATGTCATATTTCTACACAGTATTCTGTTCACACCATGTATAATCTTGACATTATCAATAATAATTATAGATACACTAATGTTGAACTTACAATTTTAACACTTAAAAAGTCATTGTTCCTATCCATCAAATAATGAATGGACAAACAAAATATGGTACACATTCACTCAATGGAATATTATTTAGCCTTAAAAAGGAATGGAGTACTGACATGCTACAATATGTATGAACCTTGAAAATATGATGCTAAGTCAAAGAACCCAGATACAAAATGCCACATATTCCATGATTCCATATATATGCATTGTCCACATTAGGTACACCCATAGAGACCAAGTATATCAATGAATACCAGGGGTTAGGATAAGGAGAGAATTAAATGCATGGCTGACAGCTCTGGGCTTTCTTTTCAAAGTGACAGAAATGTTCTGGAATTAGACAATGGCAATGATTGCACAGCATAATGAATGTACTAAAAGCCACAGAACTGCACATTTTAAAATGGTGATCTTATTAAATTTTAAATTGAAAAAAAAAAAGTCAACGCTCCAATAAAGAACATGACTATCAATATGGGCCATCATTAGGCAATAAGAAACGGCTTCTCAGTCACGCAGATGTTACTTTAGGAGAATTAGTAAGCAACTGAAATTGTGAAAACATAATTAAGGGAACACTGAAGGATAAAATTGTTGCTATTGTTAAAATATATAAAGATCCTTTCAGGGAAATGAAATTAAAATTTTGACAAGAAGCCAAAATCTTCGAGCATTATCATCATCCCAATGTTCTCCTACTTACAGGAGTTCACACAAAGCGACAACCTATCTACATCATCAAGGAACTGGTTCCAGGAGGCAATTTCCTCTCTTTCTAAGAAAGAAGGAAGAACTAAAACTCAGTGAAATTTTCATTAGATGCTTCTGGGTAGCGTATCTTGAGTAAAAATTGTATAACACAGGGACCTTGCTGCAAGAAACTATGTGGAGGTGGAAACAATGTTCAGAACATCCGTGACTTTGGAATGTCTCATCAAGAGGAGGTTGGTGTGTATTCATCTTCTGACTTAAAGCAGGATTTCCCAGTAAATGGACAGCACCAGAAGCTCTTAAATAGGGGAGACATCATTCTGGAATGACGCATGAGCTTTGGCATCCTCCTCTGGGAGACCTTCAGCTTAGGGGTCTGTCCACACCCTGCAATGACAAAGCAGCAAGTACAAAAGCAAGCGGAAAGAAGGTACCGGACATCAGTCTCTCAGCAGTATCCAGACGGTTTGAAGAAAATAACACTGAAGTGTTCCGATTACACACTTGAAAACCCTCCCCCAAGTTCAAAGAACTCAGCAAGAGCTAGCTGCCACCAAGGTACAGTCACATTGTGATGAAACATTGCCAAACTCATCCTCTGGAAATGTAATTTCAGCAGAATGATAATTTTTCTTTTCTTTGAGTTTATACCACATCACCTGCAACATACTTTGTTTTTTTTTTTTTTTAATATGACTTTATCCTTTGTACCTAAGAAACCCTATGTTTGTACATAAGGGGTCACACACCTAGGCCAGAGGATGGCATGTCAGGATCAGTTCAGAGTCGGCACAGTTTCTAAGGCAGACCCCTATCCTATAACTGTTGCTGTACACTGTTACTGCTAATAGCATGGCTATAGGACACATTTCAACTAAAGGTAGCCCACACTCTGCAGTACCAAGATTACATTTTCAAACATCATTTTATGGTGAAAGTTATGTGGACCCCTAAGTTTTTCTTTTTTAAAAAGTCATAATAGATTCTACATTATAAGATTGTCGCTTTTCTACATTTCCACCACCAACTCTACATTGTCCAGCAATCAGAAAATTAAGCACAAAATTTCCTTAAACAGCATCCTCTCAGAGTTGAGGCAGTTGATTTAAAAACCTTTTTTTTTTTTTTGTATATAGAATTGGTAGAAGCAGCAAATTTGAAATGTACAGGGGTCTGGAAAAAACAGCTGGAAACCGGAGAAAAGAAAAGGCAAATAGTTCAATCAGAAGAAAGTGATTTAGAGAGATGAAACAACAACAACAACAAATCAAAATCCATGCATCTCTACTTCCAGACAAGGATGGACTCCCAATGAAACTGTTTATTATATCTTGACAATAGGATGCTGGACTCTCTGCCATTGTCCATGCACACAATAATGGACATATGACTGTGTATGAAGAACTATACCACAGTAATAATATAGGGGAACTCAGTGAGGGGGCAGGGAATTGGGGAGGGGGTAAGGGAAATCCCATGATCTATGGAACTGCGTCATAAAATTACAATAATAATAAGAGGTAAAATTTTTAAAAAAGAAAAGGCAAATAGAACATCTGCCTTTTTTAAAATCAAGGCATGCCTTTGTAAGCACACAAATAATTTTTAATTTTATGATCAAACTCCCCAAAACTCCTATGTGCACTGACAGGAATTCGGAGTCAGGAACTGGAGTCAATACTTGAATCAGACATTCCTATGCATGAGATATAAGCAAATACCTGTCCTGCCTGTTTCCTATTTGTAGTTTAAAATCCTTTCTGTTTCTTTTTCCCTGCATCTTCTGCTACCTGAAAAGTCTTTGTACCTCTTCTGGATTTAATTTCTTCAATATTCCTAGCTGCTTTACTTTTAATCTCTTCACTACTTTAATCTTCTTTATGTATTCCTGTCTATTAAAATTATCTCCTAAGAGCCATCCTTTGACTTATCCACCTTAATTTGATATGTATGGTCTCACCAAATGAATGCTGACCTTGTCAAACTTTTGACAGTCCTTTGGTAAATGAGGTGCTATGCTGAGCTCATACTTGCCCCCAGATCTTGAGTTTTTCTGTATCCCTGTAATTCAATATTTTAGGCCAAGGATTTTAATTTCTCAAGAAATGTCAGCAGTTAGCTGTATTGTATGCATCTGTATTTTAAAATTTGCATTAATGAATATTATTTAAGTCATTGGAACCCAGCTTTCATTATTGTACTTCATTTTGGGTTTTATATATTTGAGAGTCAGCCATCAGACAGGCAGATAGATGATGCTCTCCTCTGCCAATTTCCTCTACAAAGGCCCACAGGGGCTGGGACAGTGCAAGGCTGAAAGCAGGAACTCAATCTGGGTATTGTTCGTGGGTGAAGGTGACCCCACTTGAGCCATTATCTCTTGCCTACCAGGAAGGCAGAGTTAGGAGCCAGAGTTTTCATTGTGTTCAACTCTTGGATTCTGACTATGGTCTGGGCCTAGCCCTATGTATTGTAGACATTTGGGGAGTAAACCAGAGAATGGGGGGTGTATGTTTATGTGTGTGTGTGAGCGCCTCAAAGAAAAATAAATAAAACAGAAGAAAGTGACATCCTGTCCATTAAAATGGACACACACTTTTATTTAAAATGGCTAAAATAGTTTTTCAATTTCATGTAACACATTATGAAATTATCTTGAAAACAAAGTTGTACATCTTAAATTCTGGAACTAAAAGTAGAGACCTTATTTTCTAGCTTTGTAAAGGGTGAAAAGTAGAAGAAAAAGGACAAAAGAACTCTAAAAATCTTTAGATTGCATGTCTGTATGAGAGGTAGAAGGAACTGAAAATAGCAAAGATAAAGCCTAGGTTGGAGTCCTGGCTACACTGGCTAATAGACCTTCTCCATCCTACGCATCAGCAGCCCCTGATGATTTGCCTGTAAAATGAAAAATACCAACACTACTTACACGACGCTAGATATTTTGAAAAAGTAATTTTAACTACCCAGGATCAGAAAAGATTGAGTGCTGACAAGAAAATCAGACTCTTAAATACACTCTAGTGCTTTTCAAACAAAGTATGGCTACTCAGAATGCTTATATTGAAAACAGCTTTAAAAATAACTATGAATATTGCTTATGTCCACATCCAAAGACATGATCTTCATGTTTAGGTGAATATAAATCAAGTAGCTATTATATTACAAAATGATTTTAGTTTCTTAAACATTTTATTAGTTCCTTAATGCTATACTTCTTTCTGTAAACAAACAGAAGAAAGCACTCACCTTGATTTAAAGTCTTCATTATCTGTGTTTATCTGAGGACTTATGAGTAGATGACAAATTAAGGGAAAACAACATTAGGGGGGATGGAAAAGAGTGCCTCAACTTTTAGGCAATTCCCCAGTGTTCAGGCCTAATCAGTTCTGAGCAGCACGTGAAGTTCAAACTTCCCAGCTCTCCGCTCACATCTACTACAGCATTGGCCCTTCTATTTCCCATGCCCCTCCGCCCAAGACTTCTTTCTATTCCCCTTTCCCCTCTGGGTGACAATATAACCATGAAGATTATAAACCCTTTGGCAGCATGAAATGCTTCAGCTACCAATGAAAGAGAGTTATTTCAAAAGACCATTAAAAACGTTATGAAGACCTTAGCATTTAGAGTGTACAATACAAGGTGTAATTCTAAACATATCCAGTATCAAAACTTTTCCACTACCCTGAAAGCATTAACAAAATGAAAAGGATATTGTTTCTTCTCTTCCTTTCCCCCTGAACTGTCCCTTTTCTCTTTCTTTTCTATCTTTTCTTTATCATGTCTGGATTCCTATAAGGAATGGTGAGATGAGATGGGGAAAAGAAAACCAATTGTAAAAATTAGTTCAAAATCCCTTTTCGTCACCCACCAGCTATAATTTTTCTCAAAAAAGGGGTACCAAGAGCAAAAGCAACAAAAGTAGAACAGAAACATATACTGGACTCCACCAAAAGAAACAATTTTCACACATCAAAATACTGATAGAGAAAAAACTGAACAGAAGTAGTTGAGAAAGTAAAAGAATGCAAGGAAAAGGAACAGAATTCCCAAAAGCCACTGATTCTCCACGCAGTAATTTGAGACTAAACTGGTTCTGCTCCCCTGGTCAGCCTTCCCTCTCCCACCTTGTCTGCTACCTTCTAATGCCCAGTAGTTGAAAAGAGTTCATTCATTATGAAAAGGCTCTGGGCCACCACAGGGATCAGCAGGTTAAGCGGCTGCTCCACTTTTGATCCAGCTCCCTGCTAATGGATCTGGGAAGGCGGCAGGAACTATTCCAAAAGCTTGGACCCCTGTCACAAGTTGGAAACCTGGAAGGAGTTCTAGGCTCCTGGCGTAAGCCTGGCCCAGGAGTGAAGCAGCAGGGTAACTCTCCTCCTCCCTCCAGCAACTCCCCTGCTGTCTTTCAAATACATATTTACCAAGAAGACAAAAACAAAAGCGCTGTTCAGTCAACTCTTCAAGGAATCATTTTTAAAGAAAAAACACATAGCACTTTTGTCCTAATTTACCTTTTTGCCACCAGAAGAGATTTTGTCCATCTTCTCAGATTTAAACGAATCACCACTTTTTTCTTTGCCTGAAGATTTTGACTTATTTTTTTCCTTGTCTTTCTCATTTGGGTAAGGAGAGTCGCATGGACTTTCACTTTTGCGTTTTGATACCCCCACTACAATTGCAAAAGAGAATCATGAAAGTCCTTCCTAATTCACAATTACTTCAAAGAGATTTACTAGTAAGTAGACCTACTTGTTCCATTTTCCTCTTTACGCCTCTTGGTTATGTCCGGTGGCACTTCGCGGTCACTGTTTGAGTGATCCTAAAATCGAAAATTGTGATCTACATTGATCAAGGGTTTACATTTTTTTTTAAAGTACTGCTCTTATATTAAGAAAAGCATAGTTAACTAGAATTGGAGAACACTTGCAGTAGCTTCACACACTTAGAAAAATGGTCTGAAAGATAAGCATAGCTGGCAGAGCTTACTAGGCTGGAAGATCTTTATTACTGTAAAAGACGCAAACACACTTTAGGGTTGAAAACTTCAGTTAAAACAGGCTGCTAAGAAACAAAGTAGTATTTTCCAAAAGGCAACAAACATGATAATGTGCTTTTCAAACTAATTGGAAAAAAATTACAAACCCTTTTCCGTTCTTTCCTGTCCTTCTCATCTTTTTTCTCTCTTTCTCTGGATCTTTCCCTTGACTTGTCCAAATCTTTCTTGTCCATTTCTCTCTCCTTACTCTTGGATAGTGGTGGAGGAGTATGATTAATGTAGAGCTGTTAAATTAAGGTAATATTACTAAAGATTATTAATTTTCCAGTATTGGCATCATTTGTCTGTTATTAAATGAAAAGACAATTGGTAGTTAGACCCCCAAGTCAAAATTGGTCAGCTGTATAGATTTCAAAATGTTAAATAAAAAAGGGCAGGGGAGTTTATCTGGCACACATTACACAAAGGCATTAACTCTTGACCACATTAAAAAATACTCCGCTTAAACTCAATCAGTTCTTTGCTGGTTCTAATATTAATTAGTGAATTCACAAGCAGAGTTCTCCTGATTGCTCTACTATAAAAATCTATGATCACCATTCAGACAGCCAACATAAGAAAAAATAGGGACCTGATTTCTTCCTACTATAAAAACATAAAATCTAAGCTCTCACAGTGATGGAAATTTTAAACTAATCACTTATTGGGCAATCAATGACAACGGTGAGTAAAGTTACAAAAATAAAACCTAGCCATGGCTTTATTAACAATTCTCTTCTGTCTCAGTGAAAGGCATGCAGAGATCATCCTAAATTGTCCTTACAAAGGTAAAGACTACATATTCTTCTGAATACATCCCAGTTTCTGTCAAATAACCACAGCTGATGGTACACTGTTACTGACTCAGGAAAACATACTGACAGTTAAGGATGATGAAACAACTCAAAGACTGAAAAATGATGAATATTCTCCTCTGCCAAAAGGCCTATAGGAAAAACACCCGAACATCAAGGATATTCTAACTGCAAATAATTTGAAAGATAGCCCTACTTATGCAAGTTATAAGTATGAAAATTCACTCTAAAAATATTTACAAAGTAGAAAGCAATCATACATATAACTGTAGGGCACTTATTATGCTTAATTTCAGACATTAAAGGCATTGGGGAACAGGATGGTGAATATAATTCATTATGTAACTACACAATTCTAGATAAACCTCAAGAATGAAAGAGTGACTCTAAAATCAAATATTTTTACATGAAGAAATCATTTACATTCAAAGGAAAACATGAAACAATCAGCTTGAGAATGAGGCACTATTTTTTAAACTCCAAACATTTTCAAGTCAGTTGGCTCAGAAATATTCGCAGAACAAGTCAGAAGTAGACTCTTCAAAATTTAAATGTTTAAAAGTAGATGATTAAGTGAAATTGACAAAGTGTTTATTAATAGCAAAGCAAGAGGCTGAAAAATAGTTATACAAGTATTGTGTCAAAAACACTCTTGCTAGACACAATGCCTTAAATGACAATTTTTCTCTGTGAGGTCTATTCATTCCTTGAGACTTTAGAAGTAGCGAATAATATATCACTTCAACATTCAAGGAAGATTTCTCTAAGTATTCGGGAGTGGAGGAAGGCTTGTCATCACAAATACGCACAACCCTCCAGAAGAACCAAGTTTTAACTATGCGTACTTGGATCCTGTACTGTAAGAAACTGAGAAACTTTCCTAGGACTTTTTTCTGTTAATATTCAAATTTTCTATTAATATAAAAAGCCAAATCACTTAATTGATAGACAATCAGACATTCTTAGTATAGAAATGTATCCAACTCAATTTCTTATTTCTAGACTTTTCTAATAGATCTTTCCACAAAACCATAAAATTTCTCATTACCTACTGATTAAAATGCATACTCCTCAGGCTTAAACACTCCCAACTCTTTCAGACTTCGTGTAAATTCACCCTGCTATATAGCAAACCGATGCATTCTATTGGCTATCATTATCCTCTGTCCTTCCTAGCAGTTTTCTCAACTGCAATGACCACACAATTTTCATCTTCATCTTTTTAAAATCTCAGTTAACCTTCAAAAAACAGGTCAAATGTCACCAGTACTTCAACTGTCTATTAATTATGCAATTCACATTCTGAACAATTCTTACATTTTTTTTTTTTACATTGGCCTTATTTCTGACAAAACACAGTTTCTGATATGGGAAGAGTGCTAAGATGCCATTTCTATGTTAAATATTCCTGGGACCTAGTATACACACTGGTTGCCAAGATTAACGGCTTGCAGGTGGACTTTTGGCACAGCAGTGAAGACACTATTCCAGGGAGCCTACATCCCATACTGGAGGGCCTGGGTTTGAGTCTCATCTCTGCACCCAACTCCACCTTCCAGCAAATGCAGATCCCGGGAGGCAGCAAGTGATGAGTTTAGGTACTCAGGTCCCCCCATCTTGTAACTGAGCTAGTTTTAACTGCCCTCCGAAGTTACAGAGAGAAGTTACAGAGAGCAACACTTTTTTCATCAAATATATCTACTTACTAGCACTAGTAGTTCAAAACACAATTAATGCAACCTGGAAATAGCATCAGCTTCAAATAAGGAATGCTGGCTGAATAAAATATTTAGATAATAAACTATTTCTCCCTTTAATCTCACTGGAAAAGCAAAATCCATGTATTACGTTTATCATGGATTACAAAATGAAAATAGCAAATATTAAAGCAAATTCAAAAGCAAAGCATAATTAAACAAGGAAACAGTTTTGTTTATGTACAAGCAACAAGAAAACAAGAAAAATTGACATAAATTTTCCAAATCCTCTAAGTAAAAAGCTACCCCCAACAGTGAAGCCGTGATCAATTTTAGAGATCAAAGTCCAGCAGAAAAAAAGTTTTCTGAGACATTCATGTGCTATTAGACATTCTAGAAACATAAAAAAATTTGTCAATATTGGTTATGATGCTAACCAGTACACTGGGAGCATTACCTAAGTCCAAAGGTTCAAGAATGCATGGCAAATATTTATTGAATAGCTAATCTTACTTACAAAAACCCAAAAAAGAGAATGAGCCACATAGTTTTAGGAGGTATATTATTCATGCCATTTTCAAATTTTTCTTTTGCCCACAAATTCGCTTTTTATTTAAATGGTGGGTAAATTGATTTGAATCACTGTAGAAAAAAAAGAAAAGCCAAGGCAAGCACACTGAAGAAGTTCAAAAGCGGACAAGCAGGGAGGAACCTGGATTTTAGTTCATGCTGATTTTACGAAGTTGTATGCCACTTGGAAAAGATTTAAGCTTTTTAGTTTCTGGTGTATCAAAAAGAAACTGCCTATTTTCTCACAGCGTTTTTGTGAACCAAAATGAGATATGTCATATAATAACACATTTCCAAAAGGCTTTTGAAATATGTGAGGAGCAATAATCTTCATTACCCGTTAGAAAATCCAGTTAATTTTAACAGATCTCAAATTGCTTCAAAGGATGTTTCAATAAATAAATACTCCTGAGTTACCACTGCTAATCCCTGAATTTAAAATAGCCTCCACAAGCCACTGATGGGTAATAATGACAACAGAATTCCAAATCTGTTAGGAAGATCTACTATAAAACAACAATTAATTTAGACAATAAGAAAGTTTTACGTCAAAGAATGTACTTATACGTACAGCAGATACTTTTTTGAATAATATGTTTAAAAAAAAACAAGGCTAGTTTTAAGACAAGCTTGTTGACTAATATAACCTTTTAAAATTAGTGCTCACTTGCACAGTACCCACAGACATTTCATTTATAAAGCTATGGATCTAAAAGCAGTTAGTAATGACAATTGGCTCCATTTCAAAATTTCATCTGGTTCACCAATAAGGGCTCATAATTAGCAGTTATAAAAGAAGCCAAAGCAGAAAATCAAAGCAAAGGAGGATTCAAATTTTCTAATGAAGACAACATAAACAATGGACAATTTAACCTTAATGCTGAAACGAACTTTGAGATAAGATACACAAACTTCACACTACATTTAATAGAATTTTCAACAAAATAGAGTAACAAGATTTAATACTGACATGCAAATACAAACAGCTTGAGAATTCCCCTGCAAGAGCATGATTATTTTACATTAATCAAATCTCCTAAAATGTTGCAACTATCAAAAAGGTAACTTGGCAGAGGAGATTTAAAGAAAGCACAAAGAACTGCATAAACTGAGATGGGATCATGTTTTAGAAGTTACATAAATGCATAAAATTAATTTCTTTGGTTTGTTTGGTTACCCAAGAAGCAATCATAAAACAGCCTAATAGATCTATGGTTGAGATATTAAATAAACTTAATTGTCAGAACAAAACAATCACCCCTTCCCCAAACCTTAAGCATATTTCCAAAGTGCAAAGCATAAAAGGAGAATGTATAACACAGCCAACATGGAGAAATTATAGAAATGTTGCCACATTACACATACTTTACAACAATCTTGCTGGAGGGGACCATTATGACCTAGTGGGTTTTTTGGTTAGATTTTTTTTTCCTTTTAAAAGATTATTCTAAGGAAGCTGGATGCTTTTCCACTGATCCTAGCTTACTGAACTTACTAGAGTAAGGGTATCCATTAAGGGAAAAAAAAAAACTTTTTTGTTTACTTAGGCAGGATGATTTTAAAAGACTCAAACCTTTGTTGAAGACTCCTTGAGTTCGATGAGACTGTCCTGTAGAAAATGAATGGAGATGACAGGTGAGCTGGCATTGTTCTCAGAACCCAGAGGAACTTTGGGAGGTATGGCTGTAACCTGGAAATAAATCAGCTTCTACTTGTGAGGATAAACTTCATGATAGCATTATCAACATGAATATCAACAATAAAACAAAACAAAATCATGTAATGGAGTTGTAATGTTTAAAATAAACTATAATATATATGCTCAATGTGAGAAATAAAATCTTATTCTGCTCATAATTGCAAAATAAAAACCAATGCCACATTTCTCATATCTTTGTACTTAAGCAACAGGAACTTAAAAGACTTAAAGTAAAACATTTTCTTTTTTCTCCACAGAAACTTAAAATAGTGGAGATCACTGTGGAAGAACACTACCAATCTGCATTTTCATGGGGTTTTCTTTTTTTTTCTTATTGGGAGGCTTCAAATTTTACTTAGCAATTTTAATACAAACACAAACATTTTCAACCATAACTAAAAAATTCAGTGGCATTATTAAAAAGAAAACAAACTCCAGTCTATAAAATAATCACTTTCTTGTAAAGTACCTGTAATGGTAAATCACACACCTCCCACAAAAAAACAAATAGATAAATAAAAAACAAAGGGAAAAGAAAAGCAGAGGAAAAGGGGGGGGGGCATAAACAAAAGAAAAAAAAATCAATTACAGTATTCCACCACAGTGCTCTTGATGAAGAATAAATAACTTACAGTTTTAAAAGTTCAACGTACTGCAAATTCAAAGATTCCATGAAATTAGATGACTTTAGAATTAAAATTAAATATGGAGCAAGGAATGGCTACCCTGAGTCTTCAAGAAGGCTACACCCACGATTTTGTGCTGCAGTTGAATGCCTGGGGTTTCTCTTTGCTGGGTGGTAGGATTGGATGCCACATCTGCTTTTATCGTAACGCAAGGTTCAACTTGTTGGGAACCCAATGGGTATAAACAAACCTCCAAGGGAAGATACAACAGAAGCTGCATGCTCACTGAATATACACAACTACAGGAGAACTGATCACCAAGGAGACTTTAAAATGGAACTCCTTTCAAGATTCCTTCTTAGAAGGCACATCGGTATGAAGCTCATCAAGAAGCTTGATGAATTCAGAGGTATCTTGTTTATCCTGTTTCATCCAGGGTGTCTTCAGTGCTAGGTATTCTTCAATATGCATGCCGAAAAATAGGCTCCATTCTGCTGAAAAGATTTCATTTGCTTGTAGCTACTATTGCACTCCAAAAAAGACTGCTTAAAGCAGCGAGGCACTTCTCGGTAAAATTTCTCTTGCACTTTGAAACGCTACAAAATTAGTGCTAGGTCCTTGAAGTTTTAACATTTTTATAATAAAAATAATCAATGGGAAAAAATCAGTCCATCAATACAGAAAAATTCACTTGCTAATGCCATATAAAACCTCCAGTGGCTCCAGTGAATACTTGGCACAAGACTTGAAGGAAGTCAGGACACTGGTATTCCAAACAGGTGAGCCTAATACGGACGCTGCCTTCCTCAGGCGATACTAACCTTTACTGCCGAGGAATGTGATGGAGAAGGATGAGTATCAATTTTGCGGCGTTTTTGTTCTATTAGGACAAAAAGAAACAGAGTAAATTCTATCTCCACATTTCCGAGATAATAATTTTTTTTAAATTATCAACTTAAATCAAGTGTTAGCTATCAAAAGAAAATCCCTAGATTGTCAATACATTAAAAATAACAAAAAGTAAAATTTAAAGAAAGTTTACTTGGGCCAGGCGCAATGACTCAGTGACTAGTCAAATTCTTGGCTTGCATGTGCCAGGAACCCATACAAGAGCTGGTCCATATCCCGTCAGCTCCACTTCCCTTCCAGCTCCCTGCTAATGGCCTGGGAAAGCAGTGGAGGACGGCCTAAAGCCTTGGGGCGCTGTGCCCGCATGGGAGACCCCGAGGAGGCTCCAGCCTCCTGATTTTGGATGGGCTCAGCTCAGGGCTGTTGTAGCCAACTGGGAAGAAAACCAGCAGACAGAAAATGTTTCTCTCTCATTCTCTCTGTAAATCTGACTTTCCAATAAAAACAAACGTTTAAAAACAAAGAAAAGTATACTTGCCCCTTTCAGGCTCTGGAAGATCTGATCTGGGAACAGGTGACTTCAGTGACCCAGACACTGGTGCTTTTTCTCCTCCTTTAACGTTTTCCTTTGACTTCATTTCCTTTGCTATATCTCTCTCTCTGGACGGCTCCTTCTCTCTTTCTCGCTCTTGACACGACTTTGCTTCTACATTGGGGACAGCGGTCTTAAACTTCTCATCTTTAGCTTTTTCTTCCTTCTTGAATTTTTCTTTTTCTTTGTCAGATTTAGGTGTTCTCTCCTTGGTCTCTCTTGCTTTCTCTTCCTTATTTGGCCGCTCTTCCTTTGGTTTTTCTTTCCCATCTTTACCAAGTACTCTGGCCTCTGGAGTCGTAGCTGGAGTTTTTTCTTTTTTCTCTTTTTCTTTTTCTTTGCCTTTTTCTTTGTCATTTTCTTTAACAGCTTTGCTGCTGAAGGATTAAAAACATATGATTTTAAAACTTAAAGGAATCATAAAATACATTCCACATTTAGAATAAAGACTTTGTCATTAGCGTCAAAAATTCTGGAATTAAGGACAGCCTTTTGAAAACTAAATGACAACCTTTACATCGAGTAAAAAAGAACTTCTTCAACCATAATAAATCCACTAGTAGATCAAAAAAAGATTTTAAAAAGGATAGGCCCTTTTTGAGGATGACAAGTCAACAAACCCAATTATATTCCACAAACACAAAAGGATACGATCAGTGGATGGATTTAGCTGGATGGATTACTTAGCTGGATGGCTCCGTCACCACTCTTAATTACTGAAGACCTTTTTACACACACTAGCCTTAGCAATCATTTAACCTCATTATCCTCCTGCATATCCCAACAGGACAAATATAATCATCAGAACTAGGATATAAGCATATCACCAACATAAGGGTTCCTACAAAATTTCGAAGTCCAACATGGTTTTGACCTGAAGCCCAGTGCTCCTACCTGTTAGAGCTACTGTTCCCGTTGGTTGAATTCCCTTTTGGGGTGGCACTAGATGCTTTATTAACAGCTTTCACACCGCATTGAGATCTCTCCCTTGATTTATCTGAAATAAAAAATATGGTTTTATTTAACAAATCCCCCCCGCCAAAGTAAATAAGCAGTTGCACAGCAAAATAATTAGGGAATAACTAGGAAGAAGCAAATGGCTGATTAGCTCTTAGTTATTAATACTCCTACCAGGGAACAACAGCAACAGAAATAAAAGGTAATGCTAAGCAGCCATGGCATTTTTCGTGTGCTACAGCACATGACACAGTCCTAAAACACAATCTTCTTTTAAGTGTCTGAAAATAAGCATACCAGTCTCCTCGGTACTGCTTTCATCCGACTTAGATGCACTTCCTATCGACGATGAAGAAGGCCCACCACCAGGCCCGTTTTGTACACTGGCGACAGCATTCCTCGGAGGGGGATCTTTGTGATGAAACTCATTTTCTGGTATCATGTATGACTTTCTACTTTTCAACTGCCCAGAGTAGCTGAAAGTCGCACAAAGTGTTTAAATATACAAACACAAAACAAAAAAATACAAACATGGGGTTCAAAGAACAAAATAAGTAAATGATTCGCTCCACTACTTGGTCCAAGAGAATCCCAAAAAAAACGTTAATTTCTCAGAACCCTGGAAGACTTTCCTACAAATAAAAAAAAAATCTCAAAATGAACTAACACTCAAACTAAGATGACTTAACGTCTTTTGCGCCGTAAGATCTGACAACTCTATAATGGTAAAACTACATTTCCTCCCATTTCAGGTGGATTATATATGAGTTTTGAAACTATCATCCAGTTTAGACCGGAGCTTGATCATCGGAAGCAACAACTCTCACCAGACTGTGGGAACATGATCGCATAATCTCCCATAATCTCCTGAAATGAGGCAGAAGATAAACTTCAACACTGTTAAACATTTCGAGTGTCTTCAGAATCCTTCTGTCATCTAATCTCATAAATCACATTAAAGTATAATTCTGTTACCCCATAGCCAATGCATATAGATCAGCCCTCTTCTCTTTCTCTTCTTGGCAGATTTTATGCACTCTTCTCTCCAACGCTTGACCCAGATTCAAAACTTTTGGGTACCAAGGAAGTATTTTCGTGAGTACAATTAAGATATTCCTGATGTGAGTATATTCGCCTGTTTCAAGGCAATGTACAGATGCCTGCAACAAATGTTTTACAATGCATTATAAGAGGACATGTATATAAAGAGAAAAAAAAAATGACCTTTAAAACACCATTCGTTTTTTACCTTGGTTAGCTTGTAATGCCATTTGTGTACAACATGTCGAAAATTTTCATAGTCTAATTGGTCAGCTTTATTTCCACCATCGAATCCAGTTGCCCGTAATATGGTAAGGAATCCTGGGTAGTTTCCACATTCCTAAAGAAAAAAAGAAGTGTCTCATAAAAAGAGTACAAACTCAAAGTCAAGTCAACTAGGTAACTGACTGCATGTAAAAACATTACATATATTGGATGAGAGGTAGTTTTCACAGGGAGGTGCAGCTTGTTTAATGTTAATTTGGAGGATCAGTTTGAAATAAAATTGTGCAGCACTTTACATGAATCAGTATTGTGCTTTTAAAATACCGTTTGACAACCAAATCTTAATCGTGACTGTCGTCTTAAAAATGAAACAGTTGAAAGATTACTGCAAGTGGTCATTACATACACAGGTAAAAATGTACCAGTCATACCTTTTCATATGTGGCTCTATCACTGTGCCACCTGGTCACGGTTTCTAACATGCAGCAAAGAAATCTCCCATATCGACTAGCTTCATTTTCAGTACAGCTTGCAACTGTATAAATTATGTCAGAGAAAACCTATGGGGAAAAAAGTTTAAAAAGTAAAATCAAAGTCAGTCTCAGTTTAAAAACATTAAAAATATCTTGTCATAATGTTAACAGGGAAGTGTAACAAAATGTATCCCCCCCTATTACATTCCCACTTGCAGAGACCTCTGGAGACTTTGACTTTTGTGCAGAAACAGCACATCTGTAAAGCAATTTTAGAAAAAAAAAAAAAGCTTTTATAAAAGAAAGCAAGTTTGCAGTGAGAGAAGAAAAGACTACCATCATTATCACATAATAACCACACATATTACTGGAGTTAAGGAATAGAAAACAGAGGCAAACCTGATACAGGCAGCTGACATGCTGTATAACACACGCCACAACTGTAAACCACAAAATGGATTGCTTCTTGGTCGTTTGGCTAAGATCAAGTGTAAACCACAAAACGTGGCAAGAAAAATGGGTACCAATCTGAGAACATGACCATCCTGAAAAGCTTCCCAGCATCTATGAATGCGTGATGGTGCAACTTTTGCGACTATTCTGGTTTGGTTTTTTTCCCCCAGGAACGAAGTAGAACAAGTTCTACCTAGTAACAATCAACATGTGACCTCAAATGCTGAGTTACTAGGTTATCACACACCAGGTAATACTCAAACTGCTTTTCAGATATGACTCATTTTATCCTCACAGCAATCTTATAGAAAAAAAAAAGTACTATAATCCTGTTATACAGATAAGAACACTGAGGTATCGACAGTTGAAATAACTTGCCAAAGAGCATATAGCTAGAAAGCAGAAGAGCTAGGATTCAAATTCAGGCACTTGGCTCCTGAGATCATGCTTTTAACCACACACACAGTAATATACCTGCAGATGATAATGTTCAGCTATGTCTTTGTGCAAGACTTTCTTTTTAAGCGTTGCAATAAAAAGAACTTACTCGATCATAGCAAAGAAGTGTGGAAAAATTTGGAGTTTTCTGTTGATGTACCAATTCAACAAAACGAGCACAGTAAACAGCATCAATTGCTGAAAAAATACATCGAGGAAATATACACAGCTGTAGAAATTTTGTGATGGTCTCATTTTTGGTAGATTCTAAAAATAAGGGAAGAATATATTAAGTGGTAAATTTCTTCCTCGAGTGCCTGAAGGTCACTAAACATGACAACATATTAACTGTAGTGTAGAGAATGCCAAAACACCACAAACTATTTATAGTTTGTAACCAAATTGCTATGCCTAAGTTAATACTATCTTTTTACTCTGTGATTTCCCCAAAAAATGACTTTATAGAGAAAAGGTAAGTAATAAGTTGCCAATGGCATCATTTCACCAGCAATCTTAATCAGTTCCTTCAGTGACCATGTGAGGTTGACTCTGCATTTATGAATAACCAAAAAATGGAAGAGTGAACACTGAGTTAAAATACAAGGACATTCAGAATGATAAAGCATTAAACTTAACAGCAGCAGAATGTAACAACTGCAATAACTTACTTGCTAAAAGCCAGTTGTCCTTTTCCAGTTTCAGTCTCTGTAGAACTCTCTGTACATGTTCCATCTGTTTTTTCTCTTCTTCAAGAAGCTTGTCTTGAAGGGCAGTGCAGCGTTCCTTCTCCTTTTTCTTTTTATTTGGAGGCTACAAAGTATAAAAAAGATATTGAAAAATGTAAAAAGGTCCGGCGCGGTAGCCTAGCAGTTAAAGTCCTCTCCTTGCTTGCGCCAGGATCCCATACGGGTGCCAGTTCTAATCCCAGCAGCCCCACTTCCCATCCAGCTCCCTGCCTGTGGCCTGGGAAAGCAGTTGAGGATGACGCAGTCTTGGGACTCTGCACCGTGTGGGAGACCCGGAATCAGCTCCTTGCTCGTGGATTCAGAACAGATCAGCTCTGGATGTTGTGGCCACTTGGGAAGCGAATCAATGGATAGAAGATCTTCCTCTCTGTATTTCCTCCTCTCTGTATATCTGACTTTGCAATAAAACTAAATAAATCTTTTAAAAAAATGTAAAAACATGAATGTTCACAATTTATTATTATTTTAAGCTTGATTTATAATTGGTCCATCTGGATATGCTGCTGTTACTTTCATTCAACACATCCAAAACTGTACCCAAGTCCTCATAAGCATCAAAACAGGCCACCTTCCCAGTAATACTAGTCTTAGAGGTGAAACCATCTGTCTTTCTTGTATTCTACTTGTTGACAAGTCTTATGCATACCTACTAGCTGCACTAGTCTACGGCCTCAGAACTTCATCATGAGTTACCCAGAAAAGCTACCGACAAGGCCTCTGGTCTGCTACTACTAGCCTCTTCCTTCCTCAACAGCATCCTTCAGAGCCAGGTACTTGGCACAGCAGTTAAGATGCTGCTTGGATTCCCACATTGCAGTGCCTGGGTTCAAATCGTGGAGTATTCTCAATTCCAGCTTCCTGTTTCATGCATTCTGGAAAGTAGCAGGTGAGGGCTTAGATCCCTGTCACCTACATGGGCAACAATGATGGACTTCTTGGCTCCTGCCCCTGGTTTGGTCCAGCATCAGCTGTTGTGGGCATCTGGGATTGACTCAGTAGATGAGAGATCTCCCTTGGCGTCTCCCCTCTCCTTCTGTCAAATACATACTCCAAAAATCTTTTTTTTTAAAAATCACCTTTCACATTGCTATCACTTTTGAAACTACCATTCTTTACCATCATTCCCTATTCAGTATTCCGAAACAGTTCTCAAGTTTTATCCAGGCAACTTTCAACCTGAATTTAAATGCCATAATATAGCCCTTTCCTAACTATTTGAATTTGTCACTACACCCATTTACTGCAATGAGTGTGACCTAATACCCCACTGTTTCCAGCCACTACAATGCCCTATCTACATCTGCATTTGCAACCTAAGCGATGTTAAAGGGAGCCCAGCAAGAAGGAGTAAGTCCTCTCCTACAGACCTCCCCTTTCTGGGAACTCACACTACCCTTACAATTCAAGTCACACCGATCACTTCACTTTACCAGCACAGCCTTTGGTAGAAAGACAAATTCAAATGATTCTTCATTAATTATAACTTCAATCTATTGACCAAACCCCTGCTCCACCCACTGAGCTTACTACCATTAAACACACTTAACAAAACACTATATAGAACATCAACATCACAGCTTTAAGGATTCAAAGCTAAAACAATTTCAAAGTATGGGTATTACTAAATTAACAATAGAAAGTTATCGTATTTTACTGATGAGAACAAAAACCTACCATCTCCTGATTGTCATCAATTGCTTTCATCTGGATTTTAAGTTTATTAACTTCTCGTTCATAGCTGGTGTGTGGAACTGCAAGGTCATACATCGTCAACGACCAGAACGTAGCATAGAATTGAGGGCTGATATCATCCCAGACTTTGGAAACATGTAAGGAGACCACTGCTTCGTGGACAGGAGCCATCACCATCTCACACGATGTTATGTACTTATGCACTTTATGTTGCTGTTTACTTCCCTTTTCTGATTTTTTCAGTTCATCATACTTCGACTGAAGACGAAAAGTAAAAATACATACACATGTATACACACAGTACAATTAGTAGCTTTTGACTTTCAGGGTATAAAAACCTGCATGCCTCTTTAAGGAATTCAAAGATGAGTAATCTCAAAACTGCTGTTAAGAATTTTGCTTTCTTTCAAACAGCATTAATTTTAAGATAAATCATCCCTGAAAGCTATTACAATTGTTCCACATTCTGACTAGGAATTTGTTAGAGGACTCTTATTAAATCTGACCTGTTGAGTAAGTAAAAAGGAAATGTATACTCCCCAGCCGCCAGCCATACCCCTCCCTCTCCCCTCTGACTGCTGCATAGGGACTGAACATGTCAGGGTTTCCAGTCCTGCTTTTGAGATAGTCAATGGAACAAAACTGGAGCGACTTGAAATTAGTAAAGGAGTAGAACGGAAGGAACAACAGGTCACCAGGACAGCATCATTTACTTGAAGTTCTTATCGAATGCATCCATTAAGAGACTTTAAAGAAGTTACTGTAAAGACCAATGAGTACATTGACTAACTGTTCAGGTTTGCAGACTTAAGGGTTTCTGAAGAGGCAAGATTTTAGTATTAAAACTGGTAGAGTCTCATGCGAGTCGGGAAACAGCTGGCGAACCTGCTGCTTAGTCAAATAAAATGTTCGAGGAGCAGCTATGGTATACTGAAGTTTGTAGCAGCTTCTTTCACCTTAACGCATTTCCTACTTTGGGAGACTCAGAGGAGGGCTGTGTTCTTCACCGCATGAGGGAAGGAATGCCTTTCACGTCACCGAGTCACTACATACCGTACTGCCCTGGTGGGAAAAGAGCCCTCACCTAGGAAACTGTGTCTGGATTAGGCATCATCCTTAAGGTGAACCTAAATTAAGTTCCAAAGCCAGGTTACACAAGATGCACTTATATCATTCAATTTATGTTAAAACAAGTAACCACAAACTAGTCGGCTTCCAATCCTGCTATGTGACAAGAAAAGTTTCAGCTCCTTATAGTCCAGTTACTTTGCTTAAAAACTTATACTCTCAGGCTTGCTGACCTACAGGCATACCAAAATTCTTTGTTCCTGAGGGTGTCTCAAGCAGAAGTTAAAAACCTTACAACTGTTGTGGAAGTGAGATTTATCTCCTGTTAAACCACTTTAGCGAGCATGACAGCAACTGAGATGGCCAAAGTAACAAAAGTACAAAGAACATGAGTTGACAGGGAGAGGTAAAGGAGAAGGGAAGGGAAAGAGGGAGAAGGGGAGAGGGAGAGAGGGCCAGGCAGATACCAGCTGAGATAACAAAGCATTTTGTAACTCTACAAAGTCTGTCTTTTTGGAAGGTAATAATAAGCATCGAGGTGAGTAGAATGTCATCTACTGGGAGTCTAAGAAAATATGGGATAATACAGTGCTGTATAAGATAACCTAACTATCTGATTTGCTCAAGATCTAGAATATGAACTGGGGGAAAGGCTCTCTTTCTAATGCAAGATCCAAGATAGGTGTCTACAATTGAAAGTAAAATTTCCAAGCTGAAGAGGGTTACAGGATAAGCTCAGAGTTGCCCGCTTCTGAGTCTATGATCTCTATTGCTGCGCATCCACTTGGTCTATCTTGTTAGGAAATATGTTAGTCATAAGAAAAAACAGCTATAATTCATATTTACCTTGGATGAAAATTCCCATACTAAAGCTCAACTCCCACTTCTAGCTCACTTCTTCCGTCAACAGGGGAGGTTTACTCTACATCTCAGTTGCCACTGAGGGAACGAGAAGACTGTAACAGGACTGATACCCACACTATTGCTAGATTTCTGTTTGCCATTCAGAAAGCTTTTAGTCCAGGAAACTGAGTGATGCCTGGATGAGTAACTTCCAACAGGAGCCTGCTTCTGGTAGTTCACATCCCTGGAGGAGACCTTAGCAGGCCTCTGACACTCTGGCACCTTCACTCCTTCACTGCATTGAAGACTCTTGCAACAAGCAAAAGCAGAAGGACCAGAGCAATCTGAATGCTCATCCAATGCAACCAGGTAGTTGAAGCACTTCCTTTCCCAAGAGTGATTATACACTACAGGCCAGATTTATCCCTGACTTGGCTATCTACACAGGGCTACTTCAAGAGTTCACAGAAATTAAAAACCAAGCTTATTTTGACACAAAAATATTGAAATCCACACGTTTTTTCATAATAGGTACCATCCAATAACTTTCTGAAGACCCCTCATACTTCTATATTCTTCCTCAATTCTGAAAGGAAAATGCCATTTGTGTGGGAAGAGTAGCTCTAAAACTCAGTCCTTAAAGTAACCAGGTCCCGACTGTATCACTAAACTATGTACTGTGAATTGGTACAAACACAAGGCATAACCGCACAGAACAGCACAGACTTCTCCGGACCAAGAGATTTTTTAAAGATTAATTTTTATTGGAAAGGCAGATTTATAGAGAGACAGAAATATCTTCCATCTGCTGGTTCACTCCCCAAGTAGCTGAAATGGCCAGAGCTGAGTCAATCTTGGCACCTCTTCCAGGCGTCCCACATGGGCTCAAGGCCCCAAGGCCATCCTCTATTGCTTTCCCAGGCCACAAGCAGGGAGCTGGATGGAAAAACAGGGCAGCCTGGACATGAACCAGTGCCCATATGGGATCCTGGTGCAAGCTAGGTGCGCACTTTAGCCACTAGGCTACCACACCGGACCCAGGACCCCATATCCAGGTGCCAGTTAAGAGTTCCAACTACTGCACTTCTGATGCAGTTCCCTGCTAACATTCCTGGAAGAGCAGCAAAAGATGGCCCAAGCACTGGGGGTCCCAGTCATCCACATGGGAAAGCAGGAGGAAGCTTTTCTTACTTCTGGCTTTGGCCTGGCCCAGACCTATTTGGGAAATAAACCAGCAGATGAAAGAAATCTTTCCTTCCTCCCCCTTTCTTTGTCACTACACTTTTCCAATAAATTTTAAAAAAAAAAAAAAAAAAAAAACGTTCGGGATACCAGGTCTTGAATTTTTAAGATGCTTCCTTGGTGATTCCTATCTGTAGCAATGTTTGAAAATAAACACTGCACTCTAGAGGGTCTATCAGATAACAACCTGGACAACTGGCAGAGTACCAAAAGTAAATTTATAAACTGAATATGATACACTTTAAGAACAGGCAATTTCAGTGAACACTACTTTGACTCTGAGTGTAAACAAAAAGAAGTAACTCTCGAAGGGATATAAGCTAAATAAATATGTCAAATTAATATGCCTTTAAAAGAGTTAAGAAATATTTTGTTATCATTCCTGACTTCTATAATTATCCAACAAAGATAGCTGTACTTACCGAAATATGGTGTGCATACATTGGCCTAGACAGGAAAAATGCTGCATCGTGGGGTGTGTGAAATTCATTACACAGCACATCAATTGAAGGCACTCGTTTTATATAATCTTCTGTGCTTAGGTTAGATGCTAAAAACCCACCAAATTGTACCAGAGTGTCATGGCACTAAAAATAAATAAGTAAATAAATAAATAAGGAAAAATTACAAATACGCTACCACTTTATAAAACCAACATAAACACTTTCAAAATTAGTAAGATATGTCCTTTTAACAATATTAAGAATCCAAATTTATGCAAGTTAAAAAAGGATGTTACAAACCACCTACATGTATAATCATATAGTCATATCTGAAAAGATTCTATTAATATTAGGACTCTAAATGGTAGGTTAAAAAAAACAATAGCAACTGAATAAACGTCATGGTTGAGAAAGAACTTGTAAGATTAGTGCAATTCACAATAGCTACAAAAAAATTTAAATACCTTGTGATGAAAATAACCAAGTATGAAAAAGTTCTCTACAATGAAAACTACAGAGCATTAAGGAAATAGAAGAAAACACACAAAAAGGGAAAACCCACCCCTGCCCATGGATTAGAAGAATTGATATTATCAAAATGTCCATACTACACAAGCCAACTTACAGATTCAATGCGATTCAAATCAAAATAGTAAAAGCATTCTCAGATCTCGAAAAAACTGACTCAAATTCATTATGAAATCACAAAAATCCTGACTGAAAATCAACTCACAATGGGTTAGAAATCTAAACCTGATGCCTGAAACCATCAAATTGCTAGGGGAAATGATACAAGACACTGGGAGAGGCAAAGCCATCTTAAGACCCTAGTAGCTCACCCAATAGAAGCAAAAATAGACAGGGATTGAATTAAGCTAAGAAGGTTCTGCAAGGCAAGGTAACACTCAACAAAGAGGCAACCGAGCAAGAGAAAACATCTGCAGACTTCTATGTTTTGGATAAATAAGGAGCTCAAAAACTCAACAACAAAAAAATTCAGTTAAGAAATGGGCTAGAGGCAAGCACTAGCTACTCCACAGAATCTACTTTCTTATAAATGAAATTCGAGACTTTCACTAATTGGAAAAAAATGAGAATGAAAATATCAAGGTTGTAGAAATTTAATGACAAAAGGTCTAAATGAAAACCTTATACATACAATACCTGAGTTATTGCTTAAATACCATAATTTGCATAAATAATGTTCTTATTTCCTAAGTGTCTATTTTATGTTAGAACATTTCATAATCATATTATATGCAAAATAACATTTTTCAAATTTTATTACATGCTCTATTTTCCTTTATTTGGTCAAAAATTTGCACCAATACAAAAGAAACTACTAATTTACCTGGTCATAGAGCTTTCCAACAAGTTTCAAATGTTTCTCTCCACCTTCTTGAAAGATTACACCATTCCTCTGTTGGGCCATAAGCAAACATAGAGGAAGAGCAAGATCATGGTCCAATAGTGCATCCTTTAACCTTTGCGAAGATTTTTTAGTGTTTCTGATCTGGCCAAAATAACCACCCTGCACAAGACAAGACACAAAAAATATCAGCATGTAATACATAATCCATGGAACCTGATGTGAAAAACAGCTACACACAAATGCTTCACATTCTGTTCTAGCTTTTTAAAGAGATCAAAATGAGTCACATGATGGGCTTCTGGCAGATGTCAAGCTGATGCTTAGGACAACTGCACTCCTTAACAGTGCCTGGTTCAAGTCCCAACTCCACTTCCAGGCCTGCCTCCTACTGATGCACATCCTGAGAAACAGTAACTGATGGTTCAAGCACTTGGGGAAACCAGGAGGACCTTTTACGGTTCTGGTTGTTGCAGACATTTAGGGAGTGAACCTGCGTTTGGAAAATCTCTCCGCTTTGTCTCTATGTCTCTGCCCTTGAAAGGCATGCATAACATTTGGCAGTTGGCTTTATGTACTCAATACTAACATACTCTTCAGATTCTATACTATAACCAGGCATACAGTAGTATCTCCTCACCCACAGGGGTATGTTCTAAGACTAACAATGAATGCCTGAAACTGCAAACAACAAATCATATTCACTGCTTTTTCCTATATTCACACACATATCTGATACCAAAGTTTACTTTATAAATTAAGAGCAGATTAACAAGAACTAACAAGTATAATGGGAGATCAGTGAATGTAGATTTTTAGTTAACACATGAGATAATACAACACCAAGATGAGATGACCCAACATTATGATGAGTAACCAGGGTTGGCATGGTGGCATAACAGCACTGGCATCCAATGTGAGCGCCAGTTCTAGATCCAGTTGCTCCACTTCCAATCCAGCTCCCTGTTTGCAACCTGGGAAAGCAATGGAAGATGGCCCAAAACCCTGTGCCCTGTGCCCAGAAGGAGACCACAAAAGAAGCTCCTGGCTCCTGACTTCAGATCAGCTCAGCTGCATCCATTTGGGGAGTGAACCGGTAGATGAACTCTTTTTCTGTCCTTCTTGCTATAAAAACTGCCTTCCAAATACAAATACATTTTCAAAAAGTGAATAACTAAAAGTAATAATACTCACCTCAGCTTTTAGTTGCTCTCCACCAGTCATGGCCTCTAGTTGCTCCATTGTCATTTCCTCTGTAATTTCAATTCCGGCCATTTTTTGTACCACTTCTTTTAATATAAGCAGGTCAAAACTATTCAAAACGAATGGTCTATATTTACAACTTCGAACGTATGTGACAATGTCTTACAATTAATAAAATCCTTAAGTATTTACAGGTAAATATGTCATTCCTATCTCTCTGTAACTCTTCCAAACAAAATAAATAAAACACACACACACACACACACACACACACACAAAATCTCTCCCAAACTCTAAGCACTGATACTGGCCCAGAATAAGCTCAAGTTTACAAAGAATAAAGGCTCCAAGGCCCGGGACAATAGCTTAGTAGCATGCGCCAGGATCCAATATGGGCACCAGTCCTTGTTCTGGATGCCTGCTTGTGGCCTGGCAAGGCAGTAGAGGATGGCTCAAAGCCTTGGGACCCTGCATTCATTGGGAGACCAAAAAAAAAAAAAAAAAACAAAAACAAAAACAAACAAAAAAAAAAAAACAACTCCTGGCTCCAGATCGGCTCAGTTCCAGCTGTTGCGACCATTTGGGGAGTGAACCAGCGGAAAGAACATCTTTCTGTCTGTCTCTCCTCTCGGTAAATCTGAATTTCCAATAGAAATAAATAAATCTCATTAAAAACAGGTCCTTAAAGGTATGTAAACTTCATATTTCTTGTAAGTTCAAATCTAAAAATAAGTTTTAAAAATAATATGTTCACTCAAAACATGCTACTAGGTGTTCAATGAAATCATGGTCAATTAGAATCCAGTGACACAATCAACAGTGCACTGTGTTTCATCATAAATTATGCATGTACTAAGCTTACTAAGCTTATCAACAGGTAGTTGAAATAAGCAAACATGTCTTTTTAGTGAGTTAGGCATAATGATGACACTTTATTCTGGAGAATGGGTCTACATATCAAAGTATTGTTTCTTTTAATTATGAAATTCCATACAGGTAATAAAACAACTATTATATTGCTATATTGAGCCTACAACAAAATTCATTCAATACTGCTCCAATGTGTTGTAATTACTAATTTCACTTACATACCATTGTATATAATTACCTTTTGCCTGCCTTTAGCTGATTGGCCACGTATTGAAGAAGGCCAGCAAGATCAATTGGATATTTACGAAAGACTGCGCCACAAAAACTAGCCAGGCCTATATAAATTACAAACAAGAAAGGAAAAGTTAAAGTAGCTCATAAAATCAAAAGTTCATCATTTCGTCAATTAAGTCCATTTTTAAAACAAAGTAAAACTACAAGACTAAAATCATTAAATGGACTTTTATAGTAACTTTATTAAACATAAATGTTAATAAGCACTGTACATTGTTATTTAATCCTTTCAAGAATCATCTAAGGTTGCTATAAGCCTACTGAGAGGCAAATTCAGAACACACAGATCATGTTCATGTGGAGTAAAGTAGTACGCTGATTCAAACCTTTGGAGTCTGATTAATCATGATACATCAAAATCTCACAGGTTACAATAGTAACCAAACATATGCCCCTCAAATATTCCAATAAAAAACAATCACTTGCTTTATCTAGGAACATGCTACTAGTGTTCAAGGGACACAGAAAAACATAAAGTTCTGGTAGGCTGAAAAATAGACAAAAGACCAGTTTTAACTAATAGTCCTTACATTTAGTAAGGAGGAAATCCCCAGTCAAGATTAGAAGAGGAAATTCTATGAAAGCCATAATATATACCACTCAATCTGGTGGAAGATACAGAAAAGTAACTTAACTAACAAGAATCCCTTCTTGACCTTTCGGCTAAAACTGAGTGTTCAATAACTAAGGCAAATAGTTCAATGGGAGTGCAAAGAAGGAACATCTAATTCAGATTTATGGGTAATAGCATTAATATGTAAAGCTTTCCAAAGTAACTTTTAACTTGAAATCTAACTAATAAATAGAATATGGAACCAGTACATGATACGTTATGAAATATTCTAGAGAGAGAAAATAACATACGTAAACAGGCCCAAAAAAGGCACAAGTTCAGTGTTAATGGATGGTAGAATACTGGGAAGGTAAAAAGTTGGACAGCAAGGACCTGATTCCAAAATAAAGCACCTATATAATTTATTACGCCTTTCAGAATTTAAAGGAAAACCAGAAAATGACATGACAGAATGAAAGAATGGTAATTGGCTGCTAGAAATCAAAAGTACATGAAATAAAAAGAAATGTTTGTTGATAGCAAATATCTGGGTGAATGGAGATTCTAAGGTGGACTACGTCAACCATTGGACCTTGGAAGGATTTTCTCATCCATGGATCTGGGAGATCGACAGCATTTCAGAACTAATGAATCCACTTAAGCAGAGCCCTCAGAGCATGCTCCACATGGGAGCTCCTGAGATGACATCAGGTGTCCGTCCCCAGGCCCAGATACCGATGCGGTTAGGATGCTGGGTGCGGGTTCTCCCCTTTTCTCCTCCTCTTCCCCAGATACAGGAAGAAGAAAAAGAAAACTTGGAACCAACGATCTCATCCACTTTCCCCTAGTTCTCAACCCTTCCCACCATAATCAGCAATCCACATAGGTATGCATCCTTCTCAACTACATAAGCCTCATCAAAAACAAAATGTAATATAAAACATGTGGTTCATTTTTTAGTTAAGAAGCCAAGTTTTTCTTCTTTCACAGTGACTGGAAACTTCATATAAGGGAGGAAAGAAGGATTATTTCCCTCAAAATTACTCTTCCTAAAATTAACAGTTAAAAAGAGGATTTTCAACTCCCTAGGACTGTTTACCCAAATACCCTAGAGTCAACAATGATCTAAAGTTAGACACATTAGGATTTCATGAACCCCAATTTACACTAAAAAATTTGGTCACAGCTCTACAGAGCAAGCTGAGTGTCCAAACAGCCCCAAGAATTCTTGGCAAATAGACACACAGGAGTCTCAAAGAACAGGTAAGAGAATGTATAGCATTGCAGTTAACAGCAACATAAGGACACCTTTGGAAAAATGTACTTACTCTGCAGCCAGTTTGAGATGGTTGTGTCATCATGTTTCATTCGCTCCTTTTCTGGGTTGGCTAAAGCTTCAATGATACAATCTTTCATTATATTGAGGAAAACAATTGGAAATCATACCATCGGTAACAAAAGCCCTTTAAACAAAAAAAATACCATACACATAATGGGGGAAGCTTACTTCAGATTATTACAAATTATTGAAAAAGATATCAACTGTGGTATCCATATTTCTTCTTTAGCTTCTTTACCATCTTAAAAAAGCATAACAAAATCCAAAGATGTTTGTGAGGGACCACCACCATGGGAAAGTATATTAAGCCTCAAGCAGAGAATGGGCACCAATTCAAGCCTTAGATGGTCCACTTCAGATCCAGCTCTCTGTTAATGGCCCAGAGAATTGGAGGATGGCCCAAATACTTGGGCCCTTGCACAAATGTGGGAGACCTAGGAGAAGCTCCAGGTTCCTGGCTTTGGATCAGCCCGGCTCTACTCATTGTGGTTGTCTGGGGAGTGAGAATCGGCAGGTGGCAGATTTTTCTATCTCTGTCTCTATAAATCTATCGTTCAAATGAAAATAAATATTAAAAACACAAATGTTTGATAAATATAGCATCACCCCCTTTATGCAAGACAGATACATATGTACACACACAATCATTTTCAGTCTTCAACAGCCAAGCGTCAGATAAGTCACACACATAAACCTCAGATCACCACTCCCACATTGCTTAAGGAAAACAAAATGTTCACCGTTAAGATCCATGAAATATATGCCTGACTCGATGCCTCAGTGGCTAAATCCTTGCCTTGCAGTTGCCAGAATCCCATATGGATGCCAATTCATGTCCCAGCTGCTCAACTTCCCATCCAGCTCTCCCTGCTTGTGGCCTGGGAAAGCAGTAGAGTACGACCCAAAGCCTTGGGACCCTGCACCTGCGTGGGAGACCTGGAAGAGGCTCCTGGATCCTGGCTTCAGTTCGGCTCAGTTCCAGGCATTGTGGCCACTTGGGGAGTAAACCGGAGAATGGAAGATGTTTCTCTCTGCCTCTCCTTCTCTCTGTAAACCTTTCTAATAAATAAATTTTTTTAAAAAGGATCTATGAAATATGAAGCCTGGGGCTGGCAAAGTGTCACAGAGGGTAAACCCATAACATTGTCAGATTGCGTCATGGTTGCTTCACTTCTGAACCAGCTCCCTGCTAATGCACCCAGGAAAGCGGTGGAGGCGGCCAAGCACTTGGGCTCATGCACCTGTGAGGAAGGCCTGGACAAAGCTCCCGGATCCTATCTTCAGGCAGGCCAAGGGCCAGCCATTGCAGTTATTTGGGGACTGAACCAATGGAGAGCAAAAAAATCTGTCTCTACCAGCCCTCATCCTCCAGTAATTCAGAATTTAAAATGAAATAAATCTTAAAAAAAAAAAAGCAAAATGAAATCTACACATTGCTTCAACTTGAAAGGATACAGGCCAAGACGTCATAATTCAATGAAGTGAGGTATTTCAATGAATCTACTACAGGTGTTATTAAATTATCATACTTCTGTATTTGTGACAAGATCTGGAAGACAGCAACAAGAACAAAAGGCATTAACAAAACAATAAATAACATATACTATGCCAATTAAGTGACAGCTACATATTTCTATTTTTCAAAAGAAATAATGCTTGGGGCCAGTGTAGTGGGGTAATAAGCTAATCCTCCACCTGCAGCATCGACATCCCATCTGAATGCCAGTTCCTGACCCAGCTGCTCCACTTCCAATCCAGCTCTCTGCTTAAGGCCTGGGAAAGCAGTGAAGCATGGCCCTAGTCCTTGGGCCCCACACCCATATGGGGAATCTGGAAGAAGCTCCTGTCTCCCAGCTTCAGATCAACCCAGCTCTGGTCACTTGAGGCCCTTTGGGGAGTGAACCAGCAGATGAAGAACCTCTTTCTCTCTCTAAAATCTGTCTTTCAAATAAAATATAAATAAATCTTCAAAAAAGAGCAATAATTAAAGTGATTATTTTATCACTACCTTAGAGAATATTTTCCTATATTAACACTTTCCAATAAAGAAAGTGCCTAAAGTTGGATTTGTTAATGATAGGGACTACTTTTATACCAAACATTTTATATGCTTTTCTAAATGGAAACAGGGTGTATCTGAATCACAAGGAAATGCTACTCAAATATTTCTAAAGCTTAAAAAAAAAAGATAATAAAATAGTTTTTTAAGAAAATGTTTATTTAGGCCAGTATGTTAGCCAATCAGACTAAGCTGCCAATTACAACACTGTCATATCAGAGGGCTGATTTATGTCTCTGCTGCTCTGCTCAAAATCCAACTCCCTATTAATGTGCCTGGAAAGGCAACAGAAGCTGGCCCAAGAAACTGGGTCCCTATCACCCACATACCCACATGGGAGGCCAGGATGGGGTTACTGGCTCCTGGTTTTGGCCTGGCAGAGGCCCAGCTGTTGCAGCCATTTGGGGAGTCAACCTGTAGATTGGAAGATCTCTTTCTCTGTCACTCTACCTTTCAAACAGGTCTTTTCAAAACAGAAATAAAATGTGACAAACTATTTACATAAGAGCACTGGTACATAATACCAGAAAAGTATATTATATAGTAAGTTTTTTATATTTGGCAGCTTTTTAATGTTTTATTTGCTAAAATATATTTCTCCTAAAACTACCCAAATATGTTAAAAGATGCATTGTTCTATTCCAACTTGTGCCAATTTAAACAAAACATCAAAAAATTTCCTGAAAACAGTAACTCCAAAAACATACATAATCAAACAAAATCGTTGGATTGCTGTGGCTCAACTTTCCAATCTGTCTTCCAGAAGGCTTCACATTTTCCTTGGTTAGCCGCCTACAAGGGGAAAAAAAGGTGGCAAAGGTCATCTTAAGTAGCATTCCTATGGAGAAAATAAAATTCTTTGCCAAATATCCAAAATGGATCCATGAAAACAACTTAATTTATCTCCTTTACTACAGAACTTGGGTTATTTTAGTTAGCAATTCTCGCTGAGGGCACTAGGATTTATATATTAAAATCTAAGCATTTAGAATAATCTCCATGTTAAGCATTAAAACACTGTGCTGTATAAGTACACAAACTCTTTTAACAATCTATTACTTTAAAGGGCTCATTTATCAAGCTGGTGATTATCAAATGCAGTGTGACACAATGAAATGTTTCAAACCACCTGATTTAGTGACCCTAACAGATAAAGAGCTTATGCTGGAGCCAGTACCATGACTCAACAGGATAATCCTCCGCCTATAAGCATCAGCATCCTATATGGGTCCCACCTGCTCCATTTCTGATCCAGCTCCCTGCTTATGGCCCAAGAAAATCGCAGAAGGGGTTCAAGTCCTTGGGCCCCTGTACCCATGTGTGAGACTCAGAGAAAGCTCCTGGCTCCAGCTTTGAATCAGCTGAGCCCCTATCACTGTGGCCATTGAGAAGTGTTTCTGTCTCTCCCTCTTTATGTAAATCTGCCTTTCAAACCAAAAATACAAGTAAAACCTTAAAAAAAGAAAAAGTTAATGTTGTACTCTTAGCATCAGAGGTTCTCTGCTTTCCATAGTCAACATCAATCTTTTAAAAATAATTTCTACTTCTTTCTTTCCTATTTACTCTTCTGCTCAGCATCCTGTAAATTTATATTTCCGAAATTTTTATAAACAATTACACAGAATCTAAAATTTTACACTTCAAAACAATTACACAGAATCAAACTCTTCTGGTAAGTTTATTGCATGATTAATCCAGGGGGCAAAACTTGAAAAGGTAAAGTGAAGCAAGAAAACTTTTGACAGTGAAATAAATTATGAATTCGGTTCCAAACGTGGGGAATGTGACCATCCTTGAAGTATGGAGCTTGATAAAATTATCTTCAGGCATTTCTCGAGGCAAAATTGGCCTCTTGGTTAAAATTACCCCAGCATTAACTTCCTTCCCATCACAGTGTCTAGGGCCCAGTATCTTTTTCCACTTCCCCCAGCAGAGAATAAAGACTACTAGTTTGAAATTTTGGCTATGTTATAACTTCAAAATTACTGCCACCTGTCCCTACTTCTAACCCTGCTGTTACAGATGGCTTCCCCAGGCATCATTACTATCCCGTCTCTTTTTACTCCATTCCTTTCTGCCACCGTCACCCTTACAGGAGAAATAAACAAAAATTGAAAGAATTTTTTATTATGTATTCTCCTTGTACCATAGTGTCTGGAATATTAAAACAACCACTGAGCATTTTAATAATGAATTATTAAATTTCAATAGTAAGTTCATGTTTTAAACAATATTCAAATCTCAATTTCTGCAAGTACTAAATACATTCCATTCTCCAATTCAAGCAATAACAAAATCATACTGTTAAAATCGGGTGAATTAATTATGGCTTATAACAAAATTCCAAGTACATTATAAATCTTGTACGTATTATACTGTAGTAAATTTCATTTCATCCATTTACTTAATATATCTCCTGTGATAGCTAAAATTCTAAGCTTCAGGAATGTAAGAATTGTTGGCAGTTTCTGCTCTCTCAAGTGAGGTCCAGCTGGGAGGTAGATTTCAGAACAATTATGTTATCAATATAAAAAAATGGGGATTATATATCTGTATTATCTTGCATATACATTACAGTATCTGGGAGAATAAATAGGAAAAGTAAATATTAATATTTTTTCATTTTTACTGGGAGGATACAGGAGAGAGAGAAATAGCATGTACCCTTTTTCAGTTGTATATATTTGGGGGAAAAATCTAATTAAATGCATCACCTCACCAATTTATTTGTGGTGAGGATGCTCAAAATTAATTCTTTCAAAAATCCTGAAACATGCATTTAACACATCATATTAACCATAGTTACCACACAGTGTAATCGATCACTAAAACTTATTACTCCAATTAAAGTAAAACTTTGTTCTTTGATCAGTATCTTTCTCCAACCCAGCCTTGTTCACAACCTCAGCATTAAAAACCGAAGGAAATTCTGTCGTTCTCAACAATATGGATGAAACTACAAACTTTATGCAAAGTAAAATAGTCAAGGCACAGGAAGACAAATTTTATTTAAATGACTTCATTTAAATGCGGAATCTATATACCACTTAATATTTTACTGAAACTTAAACCAGGCAGACAAATAAGCTATTCAAAAATTAGATAATTTTAAAAACAAAGTCATGGCAATGCAGCTACTGAGTGGTATGCTAGCATTTTCAGCATAAGGGATATCAGTGGCACAGAACTGCCAACTGTGTTGGGCAGTATATGCTCAGAAAAGCCTCACAGCAGTGACACTGAAACCCACTCTCCAACAATATCAGCAGATGAAGACAATGGAGGTACAGAAAAACCTCCACAAATAAACAAAAACATATGCCAAGAGGAGAAGCTAGGGAGAAGCCAGTATACATAGGTACAGTACAGATGGAGCAGGAGTTTGACAGGAAATGAGGTTGGATACAGGGAGGGACAGATCAAGCAGTGTCTCCTACTTAGATCACCATGTCAAAAATTGACATAATCCTGAAACCAAAAAAGCATTACAATACTCAACTACGCCAGTGGGGGCAGGCATCTGATGCAGCAGTTAAAAGATACCAGCATCCCATTTCAAAGCATGTGGATTGGAGTCTTGGCTTTGCTGCTGATTGGATTCCTGATAATGCAGAAGCTAAGCTGAGAGGCATCAGATGAAGGCACATGTACCTGAGTCTGAGGGGGCACCTGGCAAAGCAGTTAAGATGCTGCATAGGATGCCAACTTTGCACATAAAAGTGCATTGGTTTGAGTTACCACTCTGCTTCTAATCTACCTTCTTACGAAGATGCATTCTGGGATGATGGCATATCTGTGCCACCTACAAGGCGAACTAGGATGGAGTTCTGGCCTCCTGGCTTAACCAGACCAGCCATGGCAGTTGTAGATATTATAGTTGGGGAGTGAACCAAAGGACAGATCATTTTTTCTTTCATTCATTCTCTCTCACCTCACCTGCTCTTTCTTTCTCTGCCATTCTCCCCACTCTCATTCCTCCTCCTTACTCCTTCTTCTATCCCACTCTCACATTTTGTAATGACATTCAAATGAAAAGAAACATAATTCTTCAAAAGTACTTTTAGTGCCAGCATCATAGCATAACAGGAAAAACCACCTGGTATGATAGCAGCATCTCATATGGTTGCTGGTTCATGTCCAGCTACTCCATTTCTGGTCCAGCTCTATGATAACAGCATGGGAAAATCAATGTCACCCATTTAGAAGACCAGGAAGAAAACAATACTGGCTCCTGCCTGGCCCAGTCCCAGCCACTAGGGTCTTGCCAAGAGTTGAACCAACAGATAAAAGATGTGTGTGTGTGTGTGTGTGTGTGTGTGTGTGTGTGTGTTGTGTGTGTTTAATTACTTCAAAGAGATAAATAAAATTTTAAATATAAAAAATAAATGTATGCCAGGCACCCCTGTGAGAAACCTAGTTTGAGTTCTGAGTTCCTCTCTCATCTTAGTCCAGACGTAGCTGCACAGCCATTTGAGGAGTGAACTTAAAAGATACAAAATCCCTCTCTGTCTCTCAAATAACATAAAAATAAGCAAATACTTTAAAAGAAAACCAACCAGGGTAGAGTAAAAAATGAAGCAGATTCAAGGAATTTAATAATGCTTAAGTAATTCACAAAGCAAATAATTCAGCTAACTTATTTATAAAGGCTCCATAAATATTTACTGTGATGGTTAAAGTAAAAACTGCTCCCGAGGGTGAACCTCTAGTAATATCATCCGTCTCCTGCCATAACATCACTGAGTGCTCCCTTTTCTATCCTCCCATAGCACTGGATACATACTACATAATGGCACCTGTTAAATAAGATTGTGGTGCTGGGGCCCATCACAATGGCTCAATCTTTCCCCTTCAAGTGTCAGGATTTCATATCTCACACAGGCAACCATTTTAAGTCCCGCATGCTCCACTCCCACCCAGCTCCCTGTCTGTGGCCAGTGAAAGCAATGGAGGACAGCCCAAAGCCTTGGGACCCTGCCCCTGCATTGGAGACCAGGAGGTAGTTCCTGGCTCCTGGTTTCAGATCAGCTCAGCTCTGGCTGTTATGGCCACTTAGTGAATGAATCAGTGGATCAAAGATCGTTCCGTTTCTCCTTCTCTCTGTAAATCTTCCTTTCCAATAAAAAGAAATCTTTTTTTAAAAAGAGAATCTCTTAAAAAAAAAGCAATGAAAAAATAAGAAAAAAAAAAAAGAGATCGTGCCCCTGCACACACCTTTTTTTCAAGTGGAGTGTGATTAGAGACAATTATAACGCAAAGACAATATCACTCCATACTCCTAACGCTATTATTAAAACAGAGGGTGTAATACCTTCAATGAGAATACCATTAAAATGCATGAATTTATATAAGGAATGACAAGTGATAATAAATAAGCTTGTGTAAAACACACTACATTGATTAAGGAAGACATAAACTGTTACTAATTTCAAATACAAAATTTTAGTATTAAAATTCTAATCTAGGGCCCGGCACAGTGGCGCAGTGGTAAAGGTCCTCGCCTTGCACGCCCGGGATCCCATATGGGCGCCGGTTCTAGTCCCAGCAGCTCTTAATTCCCTTCCAGCTCCCTGCCTGTGGCCCAGGAAAGCAGCAGAGGACGGCCCAAAGCTTTGGGACCCTGCACCTGCATGGGAGACCCGGAAGAGGCTCCTGGCTTCAGATCGGCATAGCATCGGCAGTTGCTGTCACTTGGGGAGTGAATCATCGGACGGAGGATCTACCTCTGTCTCTCCTCTCTGTATATCCACTTTTCCAATAAAAAAATAATAAAAATAAATCTTTAAAATTCTAATCTACCAGAAGTTAGATGTGAAATCATATCACTCTTACATCAACGACATGAAAGTAAAAGGACAAAAACTAAAAGAAATTTACCAAAATTCAGCTCCCCATGGGGAAATTTCTACATAACTTAAATAGACCATACAAATGTATATTTTAAAACCTTTCCTATTTCAATTTTTAATTGAGGACAGTCACATAATCTCTACTTCCCTGTACAACACAGTAAAGCAAAGGAAAGGCCACAGCTGGCTTTTGTTTAATTCTCATGAGGTTTTCAAAATTAAGGCTGAACATTAGCTAACTGAAAAAGGTAAATTAAATCCAGATATAATTTAGATTAATACAAAGAAAATAAAATTATAGGGCCCACACAATTGCTCAATGGAGAAATCCTCACCTTGTACATGCTGGAATCCCATTTGGGCACCAGTTTGTGTTCCCGCTGCTCCACCTCCCACCCAGCTCCCTGCTCATGGCCTGGGAAAGCAGTCAAAGACAGCTCAAAGCCTTGGGACCCTGCGCTCACGTGGAAGACCAGGAAGAATTTCCTGCCTCCTGGCTTCGGATTGGCTCAGCTCTGGCCATTTCGGCCATTTGGGGAGCAATCCGGCAGATGGAAGATCTGTCTCTCCTCCTCTGTAAATCTGATCTGCTTTTCCAATAAAAACACATCTTTAAAGAAAGAAAGAAAATAAATTACAACTTACTTCATGATATATTTGGCTCTGTCAATTGTTTGAGCTTTAACTTTTACTAAGAGCGGGTGACTATTATAAGTTTCATTCTTCCACTGGCCATACAGACGATACCTTAAAAATGAGATGAAGAATTAGAAAAGGTTCAATATTTAAGAGGTTAACATATCAGTATTAGTAGCAAGTAAAAATCTAAAAATACATATTTACCTATGCTGATAAGGAAATGTTTTAAACATTCCCCATAGTTCTTCAGACATACATGCATTGCAGTCCATCAAAGAAAGAGACGGAAGTAGTACTTGGTCAGTAATGCTAAGCAAACAGCTAAGGATAACTTCCTAATAAAGGAAAAGAAGAAAGTTATTGCACAGAGTCCATGCCAACCCACCCCCAATAAAGTCATAATAAGAAAAACGCCCTTCCTTGATATGCTAGCAAACAAAATCTAATTCCCACCCTATCCCTATCCTTATTTACGGGTCTCTCCAGCCAACACAAGGTGAGAATAAATGGTGAGCAAGGCAATAGTGATTTTTATTCCTCTTCCTACATAAACATGTTAAGTTTAAAAGGGGGGGGGGATTAAATCTTTAAAAATAGAACACTCCCTTATGCTGCCAAAAATGAAATTCAGCATATCGAGTATAAAATAGTTACACAGGTGATTAAAGCTTATTTACAATAAAATTCGCACTGTACTTAGGCATATATTGTACAGCAGGTAAAGACGCCACCTGCCAACACCAGCATCCCATATGGGCGCCAGTCACGTGCAGCCAGCTCCACTTCCAATCCAGCTCCCTATTAATGTGCCTGGCAATGCTACAAATGATGATCCAAGGGCCTGGGCTCCTATAACAACGTGTGGAATCCAGGGGAAGCTCCAGTTCTTGCCTAACCCAGCACCAGCTGTTGGTAGCCATTTAGGGAATAAATCAGAGGATGGAAGATCTCCCTCTCTCTCTCTCTATAACTTTATAAATAAACAAATGTGCTTTTTTTTTTTAATTTGCACTGTGCTATACCTAAATATTAGAACATTGGATTTTTCTACTTTCCTACCGTTTTTTCTTTATCTTCTTGCTTGCTTCCATCAGACTGAAACTAAAATAAAATAAAAAAATGAATACAATGCAGAAAGATCAGGAATATCTTATTACAATTTAGCTTTTAACTTGGAAAACCTTAACTTTCACATCATGGTATTTTAAATTTTATACATATGCAAACGCTAAATATAAGCTATTACAAAAAGTATTTTAAAACTTCACTATATTAACATTCACGCATACATTTTAGTTGCAGTATTCGTTTCAATTCTTTGTTAATCTCATCACAAACTAAGGCACCGAGAACCAATTCAAGTACTATAAAATTATCTAAATATTGTAAACCACATACCACAATAATTTACAGTTCATTTGCATTTCATGAACCAAGTTTTACTCAAGGTTCTATACTGAATTTGTTTAACGTGAGCTTCTCCTCCAGAAGCTGACCAAATACAAGTATGTTTGGAAGTTTATCATTTATTTGCGAAACAATCCTAGAAACCATCAGTGGAAAAGCATCCCTATGAGCAAATGCAGCCAGTCTGTGTAGCAATATACATCTCATGATTATCTAACCTAAAGATCATTTCAACACAAAAAGAAATCTTGGGGACAGTTCATGCAGTATTAACTCCCTATCAATTCCACTCTAGCCTGCCTTGGCCATATGCCCCCCGCCCTCCATGAGCGAGAATAACCCTAAAGACAGACATACCAGTGCCAACTGCTGAAAATCAGACTGGAACATATTGGAATAGTAAAAATCTGACATGAAGATTAAAGCAATACAGCTGGGAACTGATAGCAATGGGATAAACAAATAGCCATAACCCTAACAGAGGAGATTTTCATGTTTTCAAACATTCTCTCTCTTTTCCAATGTAAATGTTCTATTCTTTATTAATGTCTGCATTTGGGAAAAGGGAAAATCTACACTTTTTAAAAGAGGGATGGGGGGTAGAGGGACATGTGTTTAGCCTAGCTGTGAGGGCACTGGCTGGGAAGCCAGGATTCCACATCAGAGTGGCAGGGTTCAAGTGTCAGTCCCCATCCTGATTCCCCCTTGTGGCTAATGAGCACCCCCGGGAGTAGCAGGTGATGGTGACTCAAGAGCTTAGGTCACCGACAAGCACGTGGGAATCCTGGATTGCATTCCTCGCTCTGGGTGCACTGCGCTCTTGGCCTGTGCCTTTCCCTTTTCCCAACAAATTCTATATAATAAACTCTCGTGTATACAGCGCACTTTAAAAAAATCATGGATTGTTTGTACCTCGTCTATATTTGCCCATAAACACTTGCCCTACCTGTCTTTATAATAAGTTTAAATAACTCTCTAAGCTAAAAAACATAAAGGATAAACTACTAATGAAAGAATGAATTGTAATTTATTCCCAGAAGTATAATTCCACACCTTGATAAGAAATGTCACATGAAAACAGCTGCTCTTAATCCAAAACAATTAAATGTGGAAATGCAAATAAATATAAACATAGCATTCATCTGTGATCTGATTTCTTTAAATAGCAAAAGTTTAAAAAAAAGCCAGCTGCAGTTATAGAGATCCTCATTTTATAATAAGTATAACTTATTATTACAACATACATACATCAGGAAACTTAGTGCCAAAGCCACAGTGTCTTCCTCTTTGTGCAAAATAAGAACCGTAATTTAATGTTTGGGTATTATAAAAATGTCCTTGCAAAGTTTTAAATTTAAAATGAACACACAAACATACCCATATTTACCCTTCACTAGTTCACTCACAAAATTCTGTGTTAAATAACTTATAACTTATAACCAGTCTTGACTGGTGGGGTAGAAAACCCATCTGATTATCACTAAAATGTAAACAATGAAATTCCTTCGTAAAGGAGAGAAATGTGCTGGAAGGAAATAACAGCTATCACTTCAACATAACACCCAATATTTAAAGACAAAAGCTGATTAGAGTTTGTTAATATTTTAAAACAAATAAAAAAACTAAATGACTTACCTGAACGGGATAACTATGATCTTAACAATTCAGGACTATCCACATTTAACACTGTAATGTTAATTAATGTTAATACATTTACTTGAATTGATACAGTAATTCTGGGAACTAGATAAGGCAAATATCACAAGCGCATATCTTTGGCTTAGAAAAGGTCATAGGACTAGCAAGCAGCCAGCAGCTCATCCTGAAGAAGCCAAATGGTCCAACTTCTAGCCCTTCAGTCAAGTTGGAGTAGAGTCCTGACTCAAGGACGCCTTGCAGGAAGGCTAGGATCTAAGGTCAGTGCAGAAGATGCAAACTATGCATAGTCATTATCATCCTTAAAAGGCCCCTAACTTATCCGTAACATACACAGGCATGCCATCTTTCAGTTAAGTCTAGCACACGATGCTTGTTCCCTCACTAGCAAAAGAATTCAGTTAAGTGCACGTGAGATAGAAACAAGAGATGAAATCATTTCTTCGCAGTTAGAGTCAGGTCTCAGAAAAACACACTCAACACTAGACTTTGCTGTGAGATTCACCGAGAGATCCTCAGAAATGGAATGAAAACATCAAAAAGTCTTTCACCCTCGCTTCTGGATATACACATTAATTATTTTGATGGTATAGATTTAGTTACATTCAACGTCAATTAAACACAAGCACAGACCAATTGGAGTATATACACGATCTAAAATAGATACACTTCTTCTATACAGAAGAAATGTTAATTTGGCAGTAGCCTACACAACCAACACATTCAATCTCAAAAAGTAAGAGTAAAGAAGGACCACAAACACAACATCTCCTAATTGCTTAAAAAAAATTAGTGAACATCAGCCCCAAAATTCTAAAACAGGTTGTTCATGAACAAAAATCTTTAAGCCACTGATCTAAAGTACATTATTGCCACTATCAAGGATAGTACACCATCTACATTCTAGATTCAATAATACTTTGTACATTTTGTGATGGACCCAGAAAAATTACTGACATGAAAATCAATTCAGAACAATTCAGGGAGCACCCCACAGGTATAAGGACAGCTACATTACCACAACATAATTATGCCACCTATTACGTAATAGCATCTAATATGCAGTCTGAGGTATATATTGAACACATAAGTTCAGCGTTCTAACAATCACAAAAAGTTTATGCAGACAAGTGAAATAAGAAAAATGAAGCAAAACTACAACAGCTCTCCCAGAAATCCAAATGCACAGAATTCATCATTAGCCGAGAAGAAAACTTGGGGGTGAAGTGGGGGGGGGGGGTTGCCAAACATGAACCCAATTCTATAAACTGTGATGTGGTCCCTCAAGCCCCAGGAGAACTGAGCCAGAAAGCTAGATCAACAAAATGTCACAGGCCACAAGGTCTGCAGTTAAGTGGATAGCTGGGGGGGGGGAAACCCATGCGCATAGGAGCCCAGCCAGACTCCACACAAAGAGAGCCTGCTGATAATATGGATGGCTGCCTTTCAAATGCACAGTGCTTAAGTCTCTGAATGCATCAAAGCCTAAGGCCGCTGGATACTTATTTGACTAAGTACACTCCCACTGAAGACTTTTAACATCATCTGGGGGGGGGGACAAGGTATTAAGTCTGTATTTCCTGACTGCAGGTTTGGCACTTAAGAAGCTTCAAGTCACCACTCCATACTAACAGTGGAAAGCCAAAAAAATGAAAAGACAGTACTATTCTTGGGTCCACAAGAGAAACGCGATCACTGGGCAAGCGACTGCCCCAAATCAGAGCCTACCAAAGATTTACTGTTGGAACACTAGTCATGAACCCCCAGGCCTGATAAAAACAGGTGCAGATAGTTCTCATTTAAGGTTAATGTCACACCTGTTGCTGCGGAAAGCCCTGGGGACACTTCAAACTGCTGAGACCACCATGCACTGTGAACCTGATAAAGAAGCCTTTCTCTGTACTCCTCCCCACTGGACCAAGGATCCCCGGGGCACTCTACACCTCCCCCAACAAGAGGCCAAGGAAGACTGCTTGCTGCTCTAGAGGAATGCAACCCTGGGTCTGGGCAAGCTTGACCCACTCCTTCCCTCCCTGTACTACACCAATTCAGTCCTTCCCAAACCAGTCTTGTCTTACTTCAGTCACCTGCTAGTCTCCCTTGGACCCCAAAATTCTAAAATTTAACAATCACAATTTATAAGGAACAGAAACTTCTAAGGTAATCAATGACAAGGACACAACTCCAAGAACTGTCTAAAAAGCTCAAACCTCCCATACATTGAGGGGAGTGGACACTGCGAGCTCAATTTGGCTCTCACAGTGAATATCAGAGAGGAATATTGTTTCTAACAGAGAAGGAAAAAAGAGATCATTTAAAAATTTACCAGATCATTCTGTCCTCCATGAAACATGCCTTCAAGATAAACTACTCAGGGCCCAGCGTGATAGTGTAGCGGTTAAAGCGCTTGCCTTGGACGAGCCGGGATCCCATATGGACGCTCCACTTCCCCTCCAGCTCCCAGCTTGTGGCCTGGGAATACAATTGAGGACAGCCCAAAGTTTTGGGACCCTCCACCCACATGAGAGACCAGGAAGAGCTCCTGGCTCCTGGCTTTGGATTGGCTCAGCTCCAGTCATTGTGGCCACTTGGGGAGTGAACCATCAGATGGAAGATCTTCCTCTCTGTCTCTCCTCCTCTCTGCATATCTGCATTTCCAATAAAAAAAAATTAAATCTTTAAAAAAAAAAACAAAAGATAAACGAACCAGCTGGCATTGCACCAATCTCTTACTGACCTGTGGGAAAGAAAATATACAACTCGGGGCACAGTAGTCACCTGGGATAGAGTGGGGGTCAGCTCATACTAGTCAACTTCACTATCTAGAACAGACAGGATCACTAAAAGACCAACACCTTACCACGAAACTACACTAGCCAACCCCTGCCCCCCGCCAAATCATAATTACAATGCAATTAAAAGGGAAAACCGTTTGAGACAGAATTAAAGCATCCATCCTAGACTCAGAAAGATTAGGGATACATAAATTATCAGGACAGGCATTTAAAACAATGATAATCGGGCCCAGTGCAGTAGCCTAGTGCCTAAAGTCCTTGCGTTGCACACACTAGGATCCCATATAGGCACCCGGCAGCCCCACTTCCCATCCAGCTCCCTGCTTGTGGCCCGGGAAAGCAGTCGAGGATGGAACAAAGCCTTGGGACCCTGCACCCATGTGGGAGGCCTAGAGGAAGCTCTGGGATACTAGCTTCGGATTGGCTCAACTCCAGCTCTTGTAGCTACTTGGGGAGTGAATCAACAGATGGAAGATCTTCCTCTCTCTCCTCCTCTCTGTATAGCTGATTTTCCAATAAAAATAGAGTAAATCTTAAAAAAAAAAAAAAAGATAATTAAAATGCTAAGGGTTCTAAAGATACAACAGGAAGCATGTATGAACAGATGGGCAATGTAAGCACAGGGGTCAAATTCCAAGAACCGAGGAGAAATACGGAAATTAAAAACCCAGAGAAAGCTTTGGGCTATGGACTCCTGGCTCCTGACTCCAGACCAACACAATTCCAACGACTGTGGCCATTTGGGAAGTGTATCAGCGAGTGAAAGATAGATAGGCAGGTGAGGCGGGCGTTGGTCCCAAGGCTTTGGGCCATCCTCTACTGCTTTCCCTGGCCAAAAGCAGGGAGCTGGATGGAAGTAGAGCAGCCAGGACATGAACTGGCACTTGCAAGGTGAAGATTTAGCCACTGAGCCGTCACACTAGGTTCGCTGCTTAGCTTCTAATCAAATTACCTATTAATGCATCTAGGAGGGCAGCGAAGCACTGGGGTCCCTGCCACCCAACTGGAAGACCAAGATAAAATTCCTGGCTAATACCTTCAGCCTGGTCCAGACATGGATACCATTTGGGTAGTAAACCAGCATATGGAAGGGCCCAGTGCAGTAGCCTAATGGCTAAAGTCCTCGCCTTGCATCCACCAGGATTCCAGAACACCACCAGTTCTAATCCCAGCTGCTCCACTTCCTGTCCAGCTTCCTGCTTGTGGCCTGGGAAATCGGCTGAGGACGGCCCAAAGCCTTGGGACCCTGTATTGGCATGGGAGACCTGAAAGGAGCTCCAGGCTCCAGATCAGCTCAGTTCTGGCCATTGCAGCCAGAATCAGCGGATAGAAGATCTTCCTCTCTGTATAGCTGACTTTCCAATAAAAATAAATAAATCTAAAAAAAAAAAAAACCAGCAGATAGAAGATATCTCTTCCTCTCCCTGCTCCCTGCCCCGCTTCGATCACTATCTTTCAAATAAACCAAACCTTTAAATTAAAAAGCTGCATAGACGGTTTGATACGTGGGGTCACGCCTTGAAGGGGTACAAAAGTATACTCACATTTTCATTTCAAAATTTACTCTATTTGAGAAAAAAAAAAACTCTTACCTCCTTCATGAACGACTTGCCTATGCGCACAACTTTGGCAAATAAAATGGGATCATGAGAAAGGTGAGGACCAAGATAACAGAACATATTGAACACGTCTCTCCTCAAATCCTCGTACGTCTCCGCTTGCTTGGGTGCTTTCTTGTTTTGTAAAGCATTAACAGGTGAGCCTTTAGCACCTTTAGGAACACCAACTCTATTCAAGAAAAGCAAAACATTTAATAAGGTACGTATGTACTGTGTAATAGCTACCATTTAAACAGTCATCTTAATCAGTAAGTCGAAATTTCTGCTTATATTTCATTTCTGTATTTCAACTTTGCAGAACTGTAACATAATTCTTAACTGGTAGAAAAACACAGAAACAGCCGTTAGAAAAAAAATCACAGCTAAGAGAAAAATGCTTCAAATTAATGATTTCAGCAAATTTGAGCTCTAAAGTAACATTTAATATATATCATTTATTTCTAAACGTGAACACTATAAGAAATTTGGATATGAGAATGGGGAGTAACAGGATAGGTCTCTGAGACAGTAGAGAAGTAAAAGAAAAATATGGATAGAACAACACTGATTCAAGTCAATAAACACTCAGGATTCTGCTACCTAGGCAGAGTATGAGGGAGACAGCGGTAGGAAATGAGTCGAATCATGAAGGCAAGTGTGACAGTAAAAAACACAGAATGCAGAGCAGGTGTCCACTGCAGTCACCCCTCTGTAAGAAACCTTCACTTTCCACAGCCCAGGTGGCACTGAAGGCGGCGACCAGCAGCCCCGCAGGATGGCAAGGCTGGGTCTTTTGAGGCAGGCTCTGTTCTGTGTGCTGAGGTCAGAGCCACTGGCAATACTGCTGGTAAGCATTCAGTAAGTAGGCTGAGGGCTAGAGGGCTGGGCAACGCGGTTAAGCAAGACTGGTGACAGAAGAGCTCAGGACCTGTCCACTCCTCAAGAGCAAAGGACAAAACCGGAGAACGCAGTTTCATTCCTAATGGAGCAAACTCAACCTAGACATCAAAGCTATCATTTTTAAATTTCACAGCAACACGTGTTCTAGAAAATCTCATCTAGGCATTAGAGGACAATTCCCTCATTGAGAAAACATGCAATGTTTTCTTTGCAATCCTAAAAAATTTCTATCTCAATGATGAGTATATATCAACATACCTTCGGTAGAGAGGCTCGATTGTTATGTGAATGAGCTTGCAAATAGCAAGGGCTATTAGCTTATGCGAAGCTGCATAGTAGGGAGGCATCTGATCCATAATGTTCTGGGCATGTTGCCAATCACCAATCTTTAACAAGGCTTCCAATAAGCCAAGCTTTTGGTTGTCAGGTGGCTAAAAATAAGCAGTCATAACAAAGATACTTATGATGCAAGAAATCAAAAAAAGCTTCTTAACTTTTCAGTTTAACTACTGGGCTAAACAATAGACATCAAAATGAGTTGCCATTCATGGGAAACTCAACAACATTTTCCTCACAGTGCAATCCAAAATTTTTAAATGGGGGAGAGTTAGCAAGCACAGCTATGAAGGATTACAGACTTGGAATGAACTTTTACTTAATGCTACAACATGCCACAGGCAAGTAAAATTCATTCAAGAATCCCCTGAGGAGCCGAGAGATCATAATAAAAAGAACATACACACACACAATACATTATGTGGTTACTTAAAATACATTTGAAAGTTATTAAGTAAACAAATAGCAGCCTTTGGGAAGATGCCATTAGACTACCAAAACACACATTTGCTTCTTGTCTGTTTTCTATAATGCACATTATAACTTCTAAAAAAATAAGTTATTTTTTGAAATCTTTGCCAAGTCTCCATATTCCAAAAATCAGGTTTCAGCATAATCAAAACTAAAAAAGAATGCTTCCATAAACCGATCAATTAGAAGCAAACAAAAAGTATCTTTAACTCCAAAACACATTAATTTCACTAGAATGAACTATATACCTTATCTACTTTCTCGTCGTCTTTGTCCTTTTCTCTATCTCGTTCATCCAATTTTTCAGAAGACAATACAACCATTGTAAGTTTTCTAACAATCTGCTTAGCTTCCACAATCTCCCGTTTATGTTCATCCATAATACAATTATCAGCTGGAAGAAGCTAAAAAAACGGTTCATTGAAATTTCATTACAGTTAATAGTAACCATCTACTCAGATGAAAAGTAAACAATATTCTCAATTGACAACACTGCATATATGAACCAGCGGAAGAGCTTTCTGTATCTCCTTATCTCTGTAATCTAACTTTCCAATTAAAAAAAATCTAGTTTTTTAAAAAACTGCAAATAATTATGAAAATTATTTCCCTTCCACACAAACTTGCTATTTTCTTACAATCTGTTAAGTACTACATTTTTTAACATTTCTTAAAATCAGAAGTAAAAAGTTTTATATTTTATGTTGGTTGGACACTATAAAAGAACATAATACTGCAACAGTGATGGCTACCATGAAATTCATATTTTCCCCCCAAGATATCATGTATCTGTTGTCTTAAAAATAGCATAGATTTCACCTTCTAAAGTATAAATTACACAATAAATAAAATACTGCACACAGATCCAATTTAGGAGAGGTTAACTACTAACTTATATGAAGACTTGTAGGAAGTAAATCTAAATTCTCTAATTAAAATATCTCATGTAGAAAAATTATTAACTTGATATCATATTTAACATGAATCACAAACCAGTTTCTAGCTTATTGCAAAAGTGGAAATCTATATATTGTCAGCCTCATTAAAAAAACGGCTCAGACATCTGAGAAGTACATTTGTAAGAGTAGAAGAGTAGACAGCTGAAGCACGCATTTAATGAAATAATACTTATACAAGGAAAAAATGCAGTCCACAAACCGTTACTCGGTAATTTTGCTAGGTGCTATTACAGTGAGCAACCAAAGAAACGTTTCTGCTACCAAGAAATGCACTATTCAATAGTTATGATTAATGTAAAGCAACCAGAAACAATAAAACAGCATGAAATACAAAACATTAAAAACAGTACACAGTATCACAGTAATGAAAAATGAGAGGAAGAGAGAAGATTCACTACGGACTGGTGCAAGGAAGACTTCCTCCATTTTGTATGGCAATCACATTTTTATCATTTTATTTTCACATCTGGTGACAACTTCCTATAAATGGAAGAACTGTACGCTTGTTTTGAAAGGAACAAACTCTCAAAAGTATATTGTCACTGAACATAAACAATTATTATGTAGGGACCCTAGATATAACCTTTTTGAGGAAAGTATTTTATTTAACAATATCCTGAATATATTTGCTCCATTATTTCACTTTCATTCTTTATCCTTACATTTTAGCTACCTCTTACAAATTTGCTCTTAATCTCAGCTGAACTGTTGGCATCGTCATAGCACTTAATTTGCTTGCATTTATTGTTAACATCAGTGTTAAATTTATCATTGCATACTGCTTTTAAACTCATACCCATCTCTTGAAATTCTCCCTTTCCTAACCAGTCTTCCATTTTCTCAATTTGTACAGCACTTCATTCGTAAATCCTAAATGGCATTATATTTCCAAGAGAAAAATACTGATATCTTACTCTGTCATTAAAGCCATCCCTACAATGGGCCAGCAAGGTGGCTCAGTTACTAAATCCTCGCCTTACATCTGCCAGGATCCCACGTGGGCACAGCTTTCTGTCCCAGCTACCCCACTTCCCATCCAGCTCCCTGCTTGTGGCCTGGGAAAGCAGTAGAGGATGGCCCAAAGCCTTGGGACCCTGCACTTGGGAGACCCGGAAGAAATTCCTGACTGCTGGCTTCAGATAGGTTCAGCTCCAGTTGCCTATGGCCACTTGGGGAGTGAATCAGCAGACAGAATATCTTTCTCTCTGTAAATATGCCTTTCCAATAAAAATAATGAATACATCTTTAAAAGAATCTCTACAATTCATCTCCAACCGATTTGCCTAGCCCGATCCCCTAGAAATCACTGCAAGCTCCAACCCTCTCTGAGTGACCTGATGTTTCCACAAAAGGCATATACTAAAGTGCTTTCAAAAGTCTGACCTTACATTCACTTAATTCTACCCAAATTGTACCATCATTTAAGCCTCAACAACTCCTCTCATGTATCAAGAGCCCAGTTTCACATCACCATTTGGAAAGCTCTTCTAAACTGCTCCCTTCCAGATAGATATGTGAGCACCTTGTACTCTGAGATCAAACAGCACTTTGTGAATACCTCCAAAAGAGTACGTGTCACGTAATGCAAACCTGGGTCTTCTCCCTTATGATTACTTCTGAGTTAAAGACAAAGATTTACTCCAATCTCCAGCTAAAAACATGCAAGCTAATACTCAAAGAATTATTTCCTCAGAAACACTTAAGAACATAAACTTTATATCCAATCTGAAATTTTGTAAAGGTAATGAAATCATATTTCATTTGCATATTTTGCCAAGAAATCAAGCTCATTGAATTTAGAAATGCAAAATTGGGTTTCAAAAAATAATTTCAGAGCCTAGCACCAGCCTCGGAGTGCCGTGCGGCTAACTAAGCCTCTCTTTCTTAGCAGCCCATTTAACTTACATGTACATAGAGATCATCTAAGTCAATAAGATTAAACTGCAGAAGTACTGCTGCCACTCTGTATAAAGAGCACGGAGTCTCACCATTTGGTTCCTTGAAAAACAAAAGAAAAATTTCTTCTTAGCACATAAAATAATTAAAGCAATAACCTTTTTAATAAAACAATCAGATCAAAAAAACTAAGTCGAGAACATACTTCCTCAACCTTCCTAACCACACCAAATATCTAAATAGACAGGTTATTACATAAGCACTGGAGCCAGCTTCTGATGACAAAAAAAAGCAGCTTCAAAACTGGACACATTCTATAATGCAAGTTAACTTGTGTATAAAATCTGACAACTGAATCAGCAAGACTTTATACCAAACAGTAATGCTTAGCATGTCTTTGATATACACATATGGGTGAAATAACTTGGTTCCTGCCAACCACATGGGAGACAAGAGAATGAGTTCCAAGCTCCTGGCTTTTGCCTGACCCAGCTCCACGTTGGAGCTGGACCAATCTGAAGCCAGGAGCCAGGAGCTTCCTTCAGTTCTCCATGTGGTTGAGGGTCCAAAGTCTTCAAACCACCTTCTGCTGTTTTCCCAGGCCATAGGCAGGGATTTGGATCAGAATTTCAGGAGCCAGGACATGAACTGGCACCATATATGCCAGCGCTTGCAAGGTAGAGGATTACCCAGTTGAGCTATCGTGTAGGTCCCCTAACTCTACCTTACAAATAAACAAATCATTTTTTAAAAAAAAAGTACCAATATAAAGATGACATGAGAAATAATCAGAGGCATCAACCAGCTTGATAGAAATCGCAGTTTTTTTTTAAAAAGAAAAATTACATAAAATATGACTTGTAAACTTATTTACATCCAGGCCTGGCCTGATTGCCTAGTGCTAAAGCCATCACCTTGCATGCGCCAGGATCCCATACGGCCACCAGTTCTAATCCCACTGCCCCACTTCCCATCCAGCTCCCTGCTTGTGGCATGGGAAAACAGTGGGGGATGGCCCAAAGCTTTGGGACCCTGAACCCACATGGGAGACCCACAAGAAGCTCCTGGCCTCAGATTGGCTCAGTATCAGCAGTTGTGGCCACTTGGGGAGTGAGCAAGCAGACGGAAGATCTTCCTCTCTGTCTCGCCTCCTCTCTGAAAATCTGACTTTCCAACAAAAAATTTAAAAATAAATAAATAAACTATTCACATTCACAAATAATTCACAATTTACAATTCTAAATTAACACAGTATTCAAGGTCCATAACAATTTAAAGCATTGCCTGTCTTTTCAACCTCATTTTTTTTTGTCCCATCTTCTCCCATTATACAACTTAGCATTAGCACACCATGGACAATTCCTTCAATCTGTTATGTATATTCATACCACCACATCTTCACACTCATACTGTAATTCCTGCATAGAAAACGCTCAGCAAATTCCTACCTATCCTTCAAGGACCAAGTTTAAAATGTTACATGCATAGAAAGCAATCTCTGACCCCTCTTCCCCTGAGCATAAAATTAATCATATCATTCACAAATACTAGTGTACTACTCACCACATCACACTGTCAGACATAAATTCATCTATCTCTGCTAAAATTTTCAACTTGAGACCACTCATTTAGAGATAAAATCAAATTATACATAAGAAAATCTGGGATTAATTCATACATACATACATGTATGGATTAATACATACATACACACAATATTTTACCTGGTAAAACTTGAATTTGAATCCAAGAATATGACACAGTGTTTGCGGTTCACACATACTCATATAAGATTCCAATAAAGATATAAAGAAGTCATCGTGTTCTGGTCTGCATTCAAATACTTCTAAAATAACATCCAAAACTCTGTTGGGATCCAGGTTAAAGCATCCTGCAACAGATAAGATATACACAAACTCAAAACTGATAATATATTATTTATAGTAAATCTATTAACTTTCAGGAAAAAAACACATAGTGGCATTAAGATCATTTTTTAAAATAGTTTTTTAAGTTTGCTTCCCTTCCCTATAGGGAAATCTTCATAACTTCCAAGATCATAAAGTGTACTCCATTCCTATTTATAGAATATAAATGTACCGTGTTAATAACAGAATTCTGGGCCTGGAGTCCAAGCTCTGCCACACTGTCTTGGTTCTGGACTACTCAGGTTGACTGAGACAGCCACAGCCAGTCTCAGCTAAATAACTAACAATGCATGTAACTAAGGCAACTAAAGAATTGTAAGCATACACAATGCTATCAACATCCAAAAGTTCAGCTTCATGAAAAGTAGACCACTACCTTTACACTCATTATATATATATATATATATAACATATATATATGGTGTGTGTGTGTGTGTGTGTGTGTATAGTTATAACATATAACTGTACCACTGACTCATATTTATGGGTTTGGTACCATTCTAAATGGAAATGTGGTATACTACTGTTACTAACGAGTATATAAAATGTCCAGATACATGCGAAAGGAATGTGTATGGCACACATGAAAACAAAAGACAAAATGAAAACGAAGGCAAAGAAACAAATAGTGTTCTCGAACATTTATCCTTGCTAATTTCAGGCTGAAATAAAAAGTGTCAATGGACATGAATAGCATTCCTACCAGCTAACCTACACTTAAAACATTATTAACTCTCTCTACATTCAGCCTCAACTGTTGTTATATTACAGGACTGTCACATCATATGCACACTTAAATTAGAGGAATTCAATCACCTGCACACAAGAAAAAATGAAAAACTAATGTAAATAATACAGGTAATTGTACACACCATTTCTCTTGTCCTAAGGATTCATAGCACGACATGGCTGTCGGCTGTTGCCTCAGTTTGCATATGCCTACCATCAAGCCAAACCAAATTCTACCATTTTAAGTTATGTGTTTTTTCATTAGGCATAATCTCTAAACATAGGCTAAACACAGGCCATCCCTCCACTATCGCAGCCACCATGAGCCATGGGGGCAGAAGGGCATGTATTGCTAGGAGCTGGGGGAATGGGAACAGGTCAGATTGGGGGGTACTAAGGACCTGTTTGACATACATAAAATAATTTCTAGGGCTTCCACTGACCAGAACACTGTACCCGCAGGTAATTGAGGGAGCTGAGATGGGTGGATCATAACAAGGAATCCTGAGGGCTGCCCTGGATCAGGCCAAAGCACCCACCTACACCGCAATAGCTGGGTTTGGGGGTAGGGCTTCTAAGGGTTCTTTGGAGTTGGCCCAACTACAACACGGCACCTGGTAACAAGTTTCAGAAGTGGGGGCAGGCCATGTGAGGGACGGGCCACAGCATCTACCAGCACACTCAATACCTGGAGCTGAAAGCAAGCCTGGTAGGGGATCTTTGGGAATGCCCCTACTATGCCACAGCACTCACTAGTGCACAGGAAAGACAGAGCTGGGAGCAGGCCAGACAAGACTAGGCCACAGTCCTTACCAGCAAGTGTTGGAGCTACAGGTGGCCCAGGAAGCCAAAGCTTGACTAGGCCGGGCTGCAGCAGCCACCAACACATACAAGAACCAGAGCTGGGGGCAGGCAGAGTAGGGGTTCACAGAGGGCACCTTGACTATGCCACAGTATCCGCTAGTGCATGCAAGTACTAGGGCTGCAGCAGGCCAGACTAAGGAAGGCCTCAGCACCTGCCAGTTCAAGTGAAAACCAAGGCTGGGGATAGAATTCTTCAAACAGCTACCCCCACTGGTACATGGATTGGCTGGTGCAAAAGGCTGAGCCCAATCCTACACCAGCTGGCACACACAAGCTCTGAAGATCTTCCAGGTAAGGTTTCTTAGGGAGTTCCCTAAACAGACTGCTCAGCTCAATCCCTGACCTCAGGAAAAATGAGATACGCATGGGATCCACCCTGGAGCACATGCTGCAAGAAAGGGGATCCCCTTGCATCCCACCTTCCCCTAGATACAGGAAGAAAAAAAAGAATATTTATCATAGTCCTTACAAAGGTATCTTTGAAACCAAGTTCAAAAGAGCTATACATATCCAGCTTTTTTAAGAGTTCACTGAAGGGGGCCCGGCGCGGTGGCGCAAGTGGTTAAGTCCTCGCCTTGCACGCCCGGGATCCCATATGGGCGCCGGTTCTAATCCCGGCAGCCCCGCTTCCCTTCCAGCTCCCTGCCTGTGGCCTGGGAAAGCAGTTGAGGACGGCCCAAAGCTTTGGGACCCTGCACCCGCGTGGGAGACCCGGAAGAGGCTCCTGGCTTCGGATCGGCATAGTATCGACCCGTTGCGGCTCACTTGGGGAGTGAATCATCGGATGGAAGATCTTCCTCTCTGTATCTCCTCTCTGTATATCCGCCTTTCCAATAAAAAAAAATAATAAAAATAAATCTTTAAAAAAAAAAAAAAAAAAAAAGAGTTCACTGAAGGGCCTGGTGTGATGGCTCAGGGGCAGGTAGCACCTGAACTTGAATTCATGCAAGCATTTGCAAACAGCTTAACCAACTGTGCCACAACACTAACCTATTTTATTATTTTTGAGATGACATGTTTAATGTACACTACAGCCAAAGGATTAGTAATCAGTAAACAGTTAAACAAATTAGAAGGGACTAAGTCATCCATGCAAATCTGCCTTTCCAATAAAAATAAATAAATCTTTTTTTAAAAAAGATTCAAGGAAATCCCAAAAACAATTTAAAATTTTTTAAAAGAAAAAGGAAATAAAAATTTCTGGGACTGCTACTTTTACTGTGTAAAACCATTGACTGTGGTGGTAGGATCTCATATCAGTACCACTTTGAGTTTCAACTGCTCCACTTCCAATCCAACAAGCTCCTAATAGGCTGGGAAGGCAGCAGAGGATGGCCCAACGCCTTGGGCCCAGTGCTCACATGAGAAACCTGAAGAGGCTACTGCCTCCTGGCTTCAGAGTGGCCCAGCGCCAGCCACTGCAGCCACTTGAGAAGCGAACCAGTGGATGGAGGATCTCTCTCTCTCGTCAACTTTCTGTATTACTCCTTTCAAATAAGGCTGTATAATAAATAAATAAAAATGCAATTTTAAAGAAAAAGTATACAATTCTTGGGGGTCAGAGCTGTGATATAGTAGCCTAAGTAAGCCTCTGCCTGCAGTGCCAGCATCCCATGTGACCGAGAGTTACTCCACTTCTGATCCAGTCTCTGGGAAAGCAGCAGAGCCATTGCACTCACATGGAGCCCAGGAGGAAGCTCTTGGCTCCTGATTTCAAATCGGCTCAGTTCAAGCCAATGCAGCAATTTGGAGAGTGAACCAGCAAATGGAAGACCTCTCTCTAACTGCCTTTCAAATTAAAAAAAAAAAAACCCTCTTATTTTAAAAAGTACATGATTCTTAACAATGTATAAAACAGATTTAAAACAGTACAACAAAACAGTGAATTTCCAGCAGTAATCTGTCTCTATAATCTGAAAGTTTTTTAAAACTTGTATTAGGGCTCAGCGTGGTAGCCAAATGGCTAAAATCCTCGCCTTGCATGTCCAGGATCCCATACGGCTGCGGGTTCTAATCCTGACAGCCCCACTTCCCATCCAGCTCCCTGCTTGTGGCCTGGGAAAGCAGTGGAGGAAAGTCCAAAGCCTGGGGACCCTGCACCCGCATGGGAGACCCGGAAGAAGCTCCTGACTCCTGGCTCCTGGCTTCGCATCACCACAGCTCCAGCAGTTGCGGCTGCTTGGGGAGTTAATCAGCAGATGGAGGATCTTGCTCCTTCTCTCCTCCTCTCTGTATATCTGACTTCCCAATAAAAATAAAATAGATCTTTTAAAAAAAAAGTATCAATTGAATATCTTATAAAAAATTGTAAAAGTTTTTAAAAGCTTATTTTAAAAACATACATTGCGCACATATAAATCTTACCTATTAACGATTTGATATTTTCTAAGATTAAATCACTAGTAGCATTTCCAGATAAATCTTGCCCCAACTCAGCAATCAGCTTGGCATAACCTTCATTCTCCTCTCTTAGCAAATTGAATTTTTGCTGTTTATAACTGAAATCAGATAAATATCATTAAGTATATAAAATTAGCTTTAACAAGCTTTCATTCTATAATGTATTTTTATTAAGTATTTCTCGATTTAAAACAATCATAAAAACAGCTGTTAAAAGTTCAACTTTGCATAAATCTATCCCAAACACACAAAGAAATTCTTCAATAAGCCCTTAAGAACCTACAGTATTCAAACTGAAAAGTAAATACATCCAACAACTTGATGTGCAAAATAAGAAAAATATACTTACAAGAGCTTTGTCTTGATTTTAACTGATTTTTGATTGAATTGCTGTGATTGTTTAATAAGCCCTAATGATTCCAGTGTCTCTGGGTCCAGGCGTTCTTTTAGAACTGTGTCTGAAACTAAATACTGTATTAAAAAATATTAAAGGTCATTTGTTAGCATGCCAACTACACATCCACAACTCAAACGTGTTCAAAATAATTTTTCCGAAATAACACAAGCATCTTATTCTATAAATATCTATAAAGTCATCGAACTTTAATTTTAGTAAAAGGATGATTCCATAAATATTCAAATATATAGTTCTCCCAAAAATTTACTTTAAAATCATATGTAAACAGTATATAGCCAATGAATGACAAGAATTACAGGTGATATTCACATTAAAATTAAGTCTGTATTGAATCTTCATTTAAAAATAATACAGGAACTGGCACAGGAGCCTAGTAACTGAAGTCCTCGTCTTGTATGCACCAGGATCCCATATGGGCGCCGGTTTATATCCTAGCTGCTCCACTTCCCATCCAGCTCCCTGCCTGTGGCCTGGGAAAGCAGTCGAGGACGGCCCAAAGCCTTGGGACCCTGCACCCACGTGGGAGACCTGGAAGAAGCTCCTGGCTCCGGATCAGCGCAGCTCCAGCTCTTGCGGCCACCTGGGGAGTGAACCAGCAGACGGAGGAGCTTTCTCTCTGTCTCTCCTCTCCTTCTCTATAAATCTAACTTTACAATAAAAATAAATAAATCTTTAAAAAAAAAGATAACAGCATCACAGGCTTCCTTAAATTCAACTATTTAAGTCAAATACAAAAACAGCAATGACAAGCACATCCTTCAGAGTCTGGGTAATGTCATTTCTTTTTAGTTCTAAATTAATAACATAATGGTTCATTAGACCATGACTATGCCAAGTTTTAGAATTTATTATGTGAAAATTATTTCCATTCTTTCTCCCTTTGCCTAATAAAGAGCTCAGGAAAATTCCTTCCATTTAAAAGCTGTTTACAGTAATTTCTATTTACTTTACAGATGCTTACCTTTTTCTCAGGAACTTACTAGGTCGGGAGTATCACTAAAGGTTTCACAGGAGTAGTTTAAGAGATATGGTAACATGTTTACTTCACAGATATACCATGCCTAAGTTTGCAACACATTTCATTTCCAAATCCAAATCTCACCTTAGAATTAGTCACCTGAATGTCAACACCCTCCTTCCACTGACATGATTAACTGTAATTACCACTCTCCAATGCAAAGTTTTAAAAAGTATTGTTTAAAACTTACCAAACATGCTAATACCAACTGTGTAAAATAGTCTCTCTTGCTTTTTTCTTCTAAACAATTTGTCTCAATATCTACAATGATGAAAAAAAGATGAAAGTTTGATTTCTCTAAATTCTAGCACTAAAATATTTATTTTGTTTAAAGCTTGCTAATTTGAAAATATCTCATTATAAATTTGGAAAATTGAAAACTACAGTAACTTGAGACATTATTAATATGTATGAGTGCTTTACTTTCTCATATCCATAAACGGTAAGTCGATCAACAGGTGCAACCTGCTGTGGCACTGAAAGCAAAAAAGCTACAAAAAAAAAATACTGTTGTTAAAATGCTATACACTCAAAGTTTAAGCTAGTTCTCAAAGATGCTTTAAAAAAAAAAAAGAAGAAATTGCTTCCTTAGGTAGGAAGCTGAACTGACAACAAACATGTAACTCAGAAGGTCCTGTTGTTCGTAAAGATCAAATCCTTCACTTTTGCCACCTTGGTCAACTACCATGTTTTAAACAAACTACCAGGCCACCAAATTTCTACAAAAAAGAGTCTGAAAAAAATGTTTTAAACATCCCAATTCTAACTACAATTCTAGTAAATAAACTGAAATCTATTCAAGATTTTTAACTTCATCTGATTGATAGTTTTAAGCTCTTGCCTTGAGCCCAGCACAATGGCTCAAATCCCTACATCCTCGCCTTGCATCCGCCGGGATCCCATATAAGCACCAGTTTGTGTCCCAGCTGCTCCACTTCCCATCCAGCTCCATTCCGGTGGCCTGGGAAAGCAGTGGAGGACAGCCCAAAGCCTGGGGCCTCTGCACTCATGTGGGAGACCCGGCAGAAGCTCCTGGCTTCCAATCAGCCCAGCTCTGGCCACTGCAGCCATTTGAGGAGTGAGGATGGAGGGTTTTTCTCTGTGACTTTCCTTCTGTGAATCTGCCTTTCCAATAAAAATGAAATGAATATTTGTAGATAGATAAATAAATAAATAAGCTGAGCCCTTAAATTTCAGTAAGTTATTCAGAAAATTTGTCAATTTTCAGCTCTGAGGTACAGAGGGAATAAAAGTATAGCGAAACACCAACACTAAAAATCTCACCAAGGATTGACAGGATTACAAGCAGGATTGTTACTTTAATTGATTACATAATATTAAGCTATTTTAAAAAGTCAACTGATGATTCAGAAAATGCCATTATTAAAAGAGGCAACAGTTTCAGCAAAGTAATAAAAATCGCCCTCAAACAGACATCCTGCCGCTGTTTTGCTTTAGTTTACTTTCTACTGCCAACACTAAGAACCAAAAAAAGAAGGGAATTTGTCATCAAACATATTCACATGTTCCTGGCCCTTCTCCACCTCCCTTTTTGGACAATCATCATTTCCCCATAGTCAGGCCACATTAGTTAAGCATGTAACTCAAACTGTGTTAAGGAAACTGTGCTGTGTAATTTATACCATGTAAATTGCAATAAAAGTTAACTTATCAAGAGTTTTAACCCATGTGCATTTATTACTCCTTTCCAGGAACTGTCACATGTTATCTTGGTATCTTGGTGGCTCTCACTGTCTAGAACTTCAGAGATATTGATAAGCAACATCCATCAATTCCCTGGGTCCAGCAGGATAGCTTAGTGGCTGAATCCTCCTCATCTTAAATGCACCGGGATCCCATAAGGGCACTGGTCCGTGTCCCAGCTGCTCCACTTCCCATCCAGCTCCCTGCTTGTGACCTGGGAAAGCAGTCGAGGATGGCCCAATGTTTTGGGATCCTGCAATTGTGTAGGAGACCCAGAGGAAGCTCCTGGCTCCTGGCTTTGGATCAGCTCAGTTCTGGCCGTTGTGGCAACTTGGGGAGTGAACCAGTAGACAAAAGATCTTTGTCTCTGTGTCCCCTTTTATCTGTGATTCTGCCTTTCTATAAAAGCAAACCTTCAAAAAAAAAAATCTATCAAACCTCTAAGGACTCTGAAGTCCCTAACATCACGGTGATTGCTGTCAGATTCACCCCGTACAATCAAATCTGTACCCCTCTCAGCCAGCTGACCTAAGATGCCATTCTTGGTTCTGACCATGTTGGCAAATATTTAATAAGATGCCAGTGAATTTCTTAGCTGTCTCAACAATCAATGCAGTGCTCCAATATCCCAAACGTGCTCTTCTGTTTACTTTATTCTTGTCATTCTCAATCATAAGTAACATCAACCTAGTAAACTCATTTATTATCCAATTCCTTCCTGCCCTGAACTTAGAGAACACTCTATCCCAGAATGAAATCATCGTTCATTTCCCCTATGATTGCTACATTTTACTAAAATGTCCTCAACTCTTTCCATCTGCAGTTCTTTGAGTCACCAACTACTGATTTCCAGGGAGATGATCAGGGCATCAAGTTAACATCAAACTTCCCCTTTCAAGCTACTGAAGTTTTCAAGCTGAAGACAGTGTTGTGCAGAACAGATTAAACCGAGACTCGGGACAGCAGCACTGCCTATCAGAGTACTGGCTGGACCCACAACTGCTCTGCTTCCAACAACATCCAGCCTATGCACCTGCAAAAGTGGTAGAAGATGGCCCGAGTACATATGCCCCTGTCACTACCATGGGAGACCCCTGTCACCACCATGGGAGACCCCTGGTCACCACCAAGGGAGACCCACCATGGGGGTTTCAGATAGACCCAATACCCCTGCCACTGCCCTGCAACTGCCTTTCAAATAAATAAATCTTTAAGGATAAATAAAATCCCCTGATCCCCCACATAGGAAGTACAGTTATTGGGGCTGGCGGTGCAGTGCCACAACCCTATATAGGTACCAGCTCAAATCCCAGCTGTTTCACCTTCCTTCAAACGTGCCTGGGAAAGCAACGGAAGATGGCCCCACGTGCTTGGGCCCCTATACCTATATGGAAGGCCCACATGAAGCTCTTGTTTCCTGGTTTCAGTCTGGCCCAGTCCTGACCGTTATGGCAATTTAAGGAGTGAGCTAGTGGATTCTGATTCTTTTTCTTCCTCTTTGCTTTCTTTCTTTCTTTCTTGCTCTTTTTCTACTGCTGTTTCTGTCTTTCAATTAAGTACACAAACCTTTTCTTTAAATACAGTTGTTACCTTAACCTGGGAAGTACAACATTGTTTTCCCTTTTAATTCTTGACGTATTATAAGCATAAAATGAAACAGTAAAAAGATCATGAGTGCTAGAGCCACAAGGACCCAGGATCAAATCCTACCTCACTAGCATACGGTCTTAAAAAGCCACTGAATGGGCCCAGCACTGTAGCCTAGTGGCTGAAGTCCTTGTTATGCACATACCGGGATCACATATGGACGCCAGTTTGTATTCCGATTGCTCCACTTCCCATCCAGCTCCCTGCTTGTGGCCTGGGAAAGCAGTCAAGGACGGCCCAAAACCTTGGTACTCTGCACCCATGTGAGAGGCCCAAAGGAGACTCTGGCTTCTGGGTTTGAATCAACTTGGCTCCGGCCAGCTTAGCTCCGGCCGTTGCAGCCACTTGAGGAGACAACCAGTGGACAGAAGATCTTTCTCTGTCTCTCCTCCTCTCTGTAAATCTAACTTTTCAACAAAAATAAACAAATCTTTAAAAAGGCAGCCACTTCTCTGAGTCTCGTTTTTCTGATTAGTACACGCCCATCTTACAAAACCTGCTGCCAGGATTACAATGAAATCAAATGTGTAACATAATGCCAAAAATATGAGAATTGCTGTAAAAATAGTATCTATATTATTATTACTATTCTTATCATCATCGACATCGGCATGACAGTTCATGTTCTTATCCCGTACACCTCAGTCTGGGGTCAGCCTTGCATCATTTTTTTTTCTCTGTCAAGGACAGGAATGAGGGCGTGAGGGGGTAAGGTGGATGAAATTTTCTTTGTAAGTTTGCCATACTAATGTTTCTTGTAAAAACAGACTGGGTAGGCTAAATGTCCCAAGAGCAACCAAACATCACCTTCATGAATTCACATTACTAGTAAAAAATTACTTGCAATACTAATTCATATTACTAAACAAGTATGAAGAAAAAAATATAATCTAGTAACTAATGAGTTATTTTAACTGGTAAACTACTAACGATTACCCAAAGACATAACACACTCCTGACACTGTTAAGGAACAGAATGTTCAATACATGTCAGTTTTAAGTCTTAAAAATTTATATCAAATTATACTTTTTTAAACTGAAATTTGTTTCATGTTATGTTTGTTCTTAAAATGATGTGCTATCTTTACTATCTGCTTCAAAAACTAAGCGGCTTTCCTTAATCACTGGCATAAATCAATCCAATAGCTACCAGAACATATACTTTATCAACCAAAAAGGACAGTTTGGAATGTGACAGGGAGAACTATTGATAAGGACACAGGGAAGGCAAGACGGAGCATATGGTCGCCCCGTCGGTGACTGTTCTTTCCATCTATCACTACAGTCACACCCATTTGGACCTATCATAAAACCTGAAACATAATAGGCCCAAAAGACCAACTGTTTGAACTTATTAAGGCCAAATACTAGAGTCTCACTAAGTTATTCAATGAATTTATTTAATTCTAGTAAGTAATAAGCGAAAATAATTCATTCCAACTTGATAAACTCTCAAAGGATATCTTTTTTTTTTTAAGTGAACAGAATGTCTGACAATGCTTTCCACTAAGGTTATAAAAACCACAAAACTAATGCAGAAAACTACGCTCAAAGTTATTTTCATTCAGATGTAAAATAGAAAAATAAGTTTATAATACAATCCTGTTTTAAATCCATGGCTCCCATGGAGGGACACTACCTTTTGTTCTAAGTCAAAGAAATATTCCTTTTATATCTTGCATGAATTCTTATTTATTCTGTACAAATAGGGAAGTTGCTATTTTCAAAGTTGGTTTCTCATCCTCAAAACAAAAGTACTTTGAGTACTTAAGCTCTTCTTGCTCTTTCTAAAATTAAGAAGAATCAAAAGAGTACAATAGCAAAGTAAATATCTAAATATCTCTTGAGTATCCCAAATTTGAGATTCGGACATCATTCGCTGTAATTCTCCACTGACTGTAATTTATTTTGTTACTCGAGTCTTCATAACTCACTCATTTTGTTGGAAAATGCACATTTTAACTTGAAATGACTTAATTTCGCTCAAATATTTTTAAATGTATGCTGCCAAAAACTTGAAAAAATGAGTTGTACTCTAAATTTAGCTTATAGGAACCATACTAACATTTGACTTATAACGCTATATTTTCCATTACATAAAAAAAAAAATTCGCTTCCAGATTTGTGGGAACATTAATGAAAGTCAAATCATTCTATGCAACACAGTACATCAAGTTACCACACAGCATGTTTACAGGTCACACACTTACCTAAGATGCAGAATACATCAGCAAGAATGGAGGGCATATCCTCACGAAATTCCTAATTTCAAAAATATAATTCAGTAAGTACCAATACACAGCCAATACTGGAAGTTCAGAATAATGCTCTTCGATTAAGCTTAAAAGCTACAAAAGCCCTACATCACTGTGCTAAAGAGTATGAAATTCTTCAATTTTCATAACAAAGAGATAACAGAAAGGAGGAGATAACACCTGGAAAATCCTGTCAATGTCTACTATCAAATCACTTGCTTAAAAAAAGAAGGAAAAAAAGCAACCCAAGCAGGGAGACAGCAGAAAACAGAGGACCAGTCCGTCAGGGAGCAAGCTCCCCTCCACTGGCCAACTCCACAAACGCCTTCAAGGCTCAGCACTTGGACATCTAAAGCCAAGCCCAGCAGGCAATCCAGGTCTCCCACGTGTGGTTGCCACAGTAACCATCACCTGCTGCCTCCCAGGATCTCTTTGGTCAAAACTCAGAATTGGGAACCCGAGTCAGGAATAGAACCTAGGCACTCCATTATACCAGGTGCATGTTTTAATTGGTGTCTTAAACTTTTTAGCAAGCAAAACACAACTCCATTCCACCGCAAGAAATACTAAACAACAGAAATGTCCAACATTTTTCCCATGAACATCCATGCTAGAAAAATGCTGAAATTTCAAGCACCTGACATATACCTGAAGCAAAACTATTACAACTGGTCCACTTTTCAACCACAACTTTAAATGTGTTCATGTCTTAGTCAACACTGAATCTATGTAAAACTCCTGAGAATCACAAGAAAAGAAAATCTAAAAAGCACAAAACCAGTCAAACGCCATTGTTCCACAACAAACATTTCGTTGGAGAGAAAAATAAATTCTAAAACTTTTCATTATTCACTCTTGTACCTTTGAAAAACATAAAAGGATCCGAAATCCAGTTTCTGAATAAAAACCTCAGCATTATTCTATATTTCTCTCCTGACTTCCGACTCCCATGCTCAAGTCTGAGTCATTTTCCACTAGTAAAGATCACAGTTCAATTATTGAAATTTGTAGTTTCCTGGCACTACTGCAGCCCTAAAATTAGCTTAATTTCGGATATTAAAATAAATTCTGGCAGTTGCAAGCAGACACACAAGTTCCCATAGTTATTTGACAGTGTATATTATAAGCAAGCAATGGCAAAGATAATCAAGCTCAGGAAGTGTATATAAAGTATATGTATTACTAAGCATCTATAGAGAAGGAGACGTAAAAACTAAACACACATAAATAAGGTTCGCCTCATTAGACCATTTTCAGCAAATTCAAAAGAATCAGAAGTAGATTCTGTAACATAACAAAACCTATATGGGGTCCCGGCAATAGCCTAGTGGCTAAAGCCTAGCCTTGCATGCAACGGGATCCCATGCAGGCTTCAGTTTAAGTCCCAGCTGTTCCACTTCTCATCCAGCTCCCTGTTTATGGCCTAGGAAAACGGTCCAGGATGACCTAAAGCCTTGGGACCCTGCACCCATGCGGGAGACCTAGAGGAGGCTCCTTGTTTCGGATCGGCTCAGCTGTGGCCATCGCAGTCACTGAAAGGGGAGTGCACCAGCGGATGGAAGATCTTTCTCTCCATCTCTCCTTCTCTCTGTAAATCTGCCTTTCCAATAAAAATAAATAATTGTTTTAAAATTTAAAAATAATCTGTATGAATGCCCAGTTGACAGAATGAAGTCATTTTCACAATCAGATCTTACTCGGGCTCCGTCTAACTGAATTTAAGCATTCAGGCTACTTGAAGCCAGAAAAATAATATTACTTATTTTAAAATTGACCCACTCCAGGACCAGTGTTGTGGCATAACAGATTAAGATCCTATTTGCAATGCCAGCATCCCAGCTGTGCACCAATTAGAGGTCCAGCAGCTCCACTAACAATACAGCTTGCTGCTAATCTGCCTGCTAAAGCAGCAGAAGACAGTCCAAGTCCTTGGGCCTCTGCAGCCACACGGGAGACTCAGACTCGGAGGAAGCTAGTGACTCCTGGCTTCAACCTGCCCCAGTACCAACCATTGCAGCCATTTGGGGAGTAAACCAGCAGAAATCTTTCTCTTTGTCTTCCCTCTCTCTCTTTCCTCCCTCCTTCCTTCCCCATCTATAACTCTTGAAAATAAACAAATCTTAAAGAGGGGAAAAAAAAAAAGACAGGCCACAGAGATGGCTCGACCAGCTAATCTTCCACCCAAGTGGCAACATTCCATATAGGTGCTGTTTCTTGTGCAAGCTGCTCCACTTCCCATTCAGCTCCTCCCTTCTTGTGACTTGGGAAAGCAACAGAGGATCGTTTAAATCCTTGGGCCACAGCACCCAAGTGGGAGACTCAGAGAAAGCTGCAGCCTCCTAGCTTTGGACTGGCTCCGCTCCAATCATGTGGTCACTAGGAGAACAAACCAGTAAAAGGAAGATCCTCTCTGTCTCTCCTTCTCTCCGTAAATCTGCCTTTCCAATGAAAAACAATGAATCTTTTAAAAAATTAATCAACTTTTAAAATGTTAATTTATAAGCATAAATGTCAAAAAGGAACATTATAATATAGTGGGAGAAAATTATTTTAGATAATTGTTTTTGTTTTTACTTAAATGGCAGAGAAAAGGAAAAGAGAATTTCCATTTTTAGGTTCACTCCTTAATTGCCTATAACAGCTGGGTCTGAACAGGCTGGTACTGGACACAGGTCTACCATCTGCGTGGCAGGGCAGCCATCCCCTGCTGCCTCCTAGGGTGCATGGACACAGAAAAATGGAATCAGAAACAAAACCACGACCTGAACCTACTAGGCAATCCAATGTGATGCAAGTATCCTAAGCACCAAAGAAAAACACTCTGTTCTCTGTTCTTTGTTTATTCATTTATTAAATTAAGAATATTTCAAATCCCATTACAGTGCATGCATCTTTCTTTGCCCTCCCAATTTTACTCACAACTGGATAAAAAGAAACAAAATATCTTTATTACCTTACAATAACAACTACTAAAAATTTTTGATAGAATTAAGCGTGAACTATATACTTCAAAAACATCTGATTGGGGCTATCACTGTGGTGTGGCATGGCAGCTAAGGCCACCGCCTACAGTATCAGGATGGCATACAGGCACCGGTTCCAGTCCTAGCTGCTCCACTTCTGACCCAGCTCCTTAATAATGCAGCTGGGAAAGCAGCAGAGGATGGCCAAAGTGCTTGGCTTCCTATGCGCATGTGGGAGACCTGCAAAAGACTCCTGGCTTCTGGCGTTTGACCAGACAAGCTCCAGAGGATGCAGCCATTTGTGCAGAGAACCAGCAAATGGAAGGGCTCTGTCTCTGTCTCTCCTTCCAACTCTCTGTAACTCTGCCTTTCAAATAATCTTTTTTCTTTTAAGAAAGAATGCTTAAAAAGCACAAAGAGATACATACCAATCAGGTTTTAATTATACAAATATATACTTACACTAATATCATTAAGAACATTAGATGCCTGTTCATGCTTTAGATTTCCTTTAACGACATGATATGACAACTCATAGAGAGCTTGCTGGAAATCTGTTGAACATAAAAGATACAGTGTTAGAACACAGTCTCTTGAATCTCACTTCTCTCACTTCTCAGAATGATAAAGATCAAAAGGACAAAGAAAAACACAATCCCAATACTTTTCATCAGCAGTTTTTCTTTTATTTTTAAAAAAACACTCTAACCAGTTACATAAAGATCTATTTAGCCTTTCAAATAAATTTTTTTAAAAATTAGGTTTAAAAAAGTTAACCATTCTTCCAGCACTGTAATATAGCTACTGTAAAAAATATATAGCTACTGCTTGAGCCTTCCTTTGCAGCATTTTCCTACAGTCTATAGATCTGATAGATCTGTACTCACCGTGTGTTGGATTCTGGCTCTTCACACGTTTTAAGTAGCAGTTTCCATGTTATAACCTAGCCATAAGTATTATCAAGAACTGCATAGAACCCTACCAAATCAATATTAACCAACCATTTTCTTCACCAGGTGACTTCACAAATTTTTCTATATCTATTCAGATTACAACTAATTAGATCTTAAGACTACCGTAACAATATATAAGGAAAGCAGTAAGACAGAGTAATTTTATCCATTATGTTCACATCAGAGAAATTTCTACCTAAATCAAATCTCAACTGACAGTAAAATTCAGACAAAAATTAAATGCATACATATTATACACAAAAATGTAAGTTCTATGAAAAATGTTAGCCACCAATAGCCACTCACTAGCTATTATTAATGGCTGGCTCATGAAGTGGGTTGCTACTGACCAAATGAACACCTCCTTCTCATCATCTTTTTCATTAGTACCATACATTAAAAACTTTACTTCACTATTAAATATAGGAAAACAATCAGCTCTAACGACATTAATATAAAATAAGTCTGCATGGCTGATGCGGTGACACAATAGGCTAAGCCTCCACCTGCAACAATCAGCTTTCCATATGGGTTCCAGTTCATGTCCCAGTTGTCCCACCTCCCATCCAGCTCCCAGGAAAGAGCATGGGAAACCAGCGGAGGATGGCCCAAAGCCTTGGACCCCTGCACTCCTGTGGGAGACCAGGAAGAAGCCCTTGGCTACCAGGTTCCAATCAACTCAACTCGACCTGCTGCAACCACTTGGAGAGTGAGCACGCAGATGGAAGAGTTCTCCCCGTAAAGTTCTGCCTCTCAAATAACAAATAAGTCTTTAAAAAAAAAAAAAAAAACCAAAGTGTGTCATGAAAACCCTTTGGAGGATAATCAAATTTTTTTTTTCAGGGAAAAGCTACCAAGTAAAAAATGAAAATTTGTTTCCCTAGTATGAATACTGAGCACAAAAAGAGGGACATGACTCAGATCAAAATGTCTATTGTTCTCCCTCTAGCCAATAAAAATGTTATTTTTGCAATAAAAAATGGCCATTAAATCAATTACTACAGAATTACAGTCAGATTATTTCAATTCTTTAAAACACTCATTGAATACATTCTGTCCATTTTACATCCTGTCTTTAATAAATTATATAAAAACCAAAATTTGGGTCCAGCACCATGGCATAGCATGCTAAGCCTCCACTTGCTGCACCAGCATCCCACTGGGCAACAGTTCAAGTCCTGCCTCCTCTAGTCCCAATCAAGCTCCCTGCTAATGCGCCTGTAAAGGCAGCAGGGGATGGCCCAAGTGCTTGGGCCCCGGCACCCACACGGGAGATACATAAGGAGCTCCTGGCTAGGAACCAGTCCAGCTCTGGCCATTGTGGCCATTTGGGGAGTAAACCAACAGATGGAAGATCACCGCCTCTCCACCTCTTTGTCTAACTCCCCCTTGCAAATGAAAACAAAAAAACTTAAAAAAAAAAAAACTAAGTAAGGTAGAAACACGAGATTTATTTCATGCTTTCCAATTTTACTAAACAAGTAAGAATTATTTTTAAATTATTCATATAATTTTAAAGATGTATTTATATTGGAAAGGCAGAAGAAAAGACAGAAAGATCTTCCGTCCACTGGTTCACTCCCCAGATGGCCACAATGGCTGCAGCTGAGTCAATCTGAGAACAGGAACCAGGAGGCTATTCTTTGTCTCTCATGGGAGTGTAGGGACCCAAGGCTTTCCCAGACAATAAGCAGGGAGCTAGATGGGGAGTGGAAGAGCCTGGCCATGAAACAGTGCTCGTGCGAGATGTCAGGGCTTGAAGGTGGAGGATTAGCCAACTGAGCAATTGTACCAGCCTCATCAAGATCAATTTTTAAAAAGAGTAATCACTTCTATCAATAAAACATCTGACTGTCATAAACTAGGTCCCCATAAGAATATCATGCTGGTGATCACAAGGATTCAGGAAATTCTAATCTCAGACCAGAAGAAAAAAAAATGGCCTGGATCATTTTCACACTAAAATGTAATAAAAACAACCACATTACAATCCAAAACTCAGCAAAGAATCTAAATTGATAAGTTTTCTAAATGTCTATTTAAATTTACTAAAGAAACTCCTGTTGTATTTTTTATTCTTTTTTTAATTATAGTACAGTTCCATAGGCTCAGGGACTTCCCCTTTCATCTTCCCCATTTCCTGCACCCTCCCCCTAACTGCTTTCCCGTGTATCATTACAATAGTACAGAACTTCAGCAACAGTGCAAGCCATAAACAATAATCGGTGCTTTAAGGCTACAAGGCCAGCCCACAGAAGCCTATGAAATCTACATCAGAGTCAAAAGAAACTTCTACTTTGGGGCTGGCATCGTGGCATGGTATGTTAAGCCATGACCTGCAATGACGGCACCCCATAAAAGGTGCCAGTCCTAGGCTAGGGGCCTGGTGCAATGGCGCAGTGGTTAAGGTCCTCGCCTTGCATGCCCGGGATCCCATATGGGCACCGGTTCTAATCCCGGCGGCCCCTCTTCCCTTCCAGCTCCCTGCCTGTGGCCTGGGAAAGCAGTCGAGGACGGCCCAAAGCTTTGGGACCCTGCACCCACGTGGGAGACCCGGAAGAGGCTCCTGGCTTCGGATTGGCACAGCATCGGCCATTGCGCTCACTTGGGGAGTGAATCATTGGACGGAAGATCTTCCTCTCTGTCTCTCCTCTCTATATATCCGCCTTTCCAATAAAAATAAAATAAATCTTAAAAAAAAAAAAGAGTCCAGGCTACTCCATTTCCTATCCACTTCCTTGTTAATGTGCCTGAGAAAGCAGTAGAAGACGGGGCTTGCGCGCTGCATCTAGCTGGGAGACCCAGAGGAAGCTTCTGACTCCTGGCTTCAGAATGGTCTAGCCCCAGGTATTGCAAAAATCTAGGGAGTGAATCAGCAGATGGAAAATGTCTCTCCCCTCCCCTTTTCTCACTGTTTCCCACCATCCTGTTAATTTTTCAAACAGAAAAATAAAATCTTCCAGGGTCCTGGTGCTGTGGCAAGTAGATAAAAGCACAATGCCAGCATTCCATATGAGTACTGAATCAAGTCCCAGCTGTTCTACTTCCTATTCAGCTCCCTGCTACTGATTTGCCTGGAAAGACAGCAGAAGACGACACAATCTGGGTTTCCCACACGGGAAGAGGCCCAAGAATTCAGCTATCCTCCACTGCTTTCCCAGGGCTGGACTAGAAGTGGAACAGCCAGGAAGCGAACCAGTGACCATGTAAGAATTCAGCACCACAGACAGAGGTCTATCCTGTATACCACTAAGTCAGTCTCATCTTTATCTTTTGAAAGAATTCCTTCATTCAGATTTAAATGATCTTAGAAGTCAAAAACCTGGACCCTGCGTGATGGCCTAGTGCCTCAATCTGCGCCTTGCAGGTACCAGAATCCCTGTTTGTGTCCTGCCTGCTCCACTTCCCATCCAGCTCCCTGCTTGTGGCCTGGGAAAGAAGAGGACGGCCCACAGCCTTGGGACCCTGCACCCGCAAGAAGCTCCTGCATCTTGGCTCTGGATCGACTCAACTCCAGTTGTTTTGGCCACTTGGGGAGTAAACCAGCAGATGGAAGATGTTTCTGTCTCCCCTTCTCTCTGTAAATCTGCCTTTCCAGTAAAAATAAATATCTCTTAAAAATGTCAAAGACTTATTTTAAACATGAGAAGGAAAAAATATTTTTACAAAGGAGTATTCTTGCACTTTCTAAAATATCTCATAGTCAACAAGAACACACTAGATCAACCTTAAATATTTTTTTTTTAATTAATCAGTTTTGTGGCCAAGATAAACTGAACAGTTTGACCAACAGCAGACTTGGGATGTTAAGTCTTAAAACATATCTTACCTAAAGATGGGGTAAGAGTGGCCTCGCGTTGTTTAACAAAAAATTAACATTTTCACTCAAGCATTAAATTGTTCTTTAAAAAATATTATCTTCTCTCAATCAGTGATATGTAATTTTTTAAACAAAGATTGATTTACTTCCAAAGAGAAGGAAAGAGTAAATGAACTCCCATCCCCTGGTTCATTTCCCCATGTGGGCACAACAATCAGAGCTGAGCTGAGCTGAAGCCAGGAGCTTCTTCTGGGTCTCTCCCATGCAGGTGCAGGGGCCCAAGGCTTTGGGCCACTTTCCACTGCTTTCCCAGACCACACACAGAGAGCTGGGTGGGAAGCAGAGCAGCTAGGACACAAACTGGCATCCATATGGGATCCCAGAGCTTGAACGGGGAGGATTAGCCAATAGATCCATCACACTGGGCCCCAATATTTAATTTCTTATAATACTATAGTAAATTATGTGAAACTATGGGAAACTATTCTGTTCTTAATCTTCTATTTAAAAACAGCACTATTTTTGGGCCCAGCACCGTGGCCTAGCGGCTAAAGTCCTCGCGTTGAACTAGCTGGGATCCCATATGGGCGCCGGTTCTAATCCTGGCAGCTCCACTTTCCATCCAGCTCCCTGCTTGTGGCCTGGGAAAGCAGTGGAAGACGGCCCAAAACCTTGGGACCCTGCAGCTGCATGGGAGACCTGGAAGAGCTCCTGGCTCCTGGCTTTGGATTGGCTCAGCTCCAGTCATTGTGGCCACTTGGGGAGTGAATCATCAGATGGAAGATCTTCCTCTCTGTCTCTCCTCCTCTCTGTATATCTGACTTTGTAGTAAGAATAAATAAATCTTTAATTAATTAATTAATTAGCATTATTTTAAAACTGTAAGTTTTAATAATTTAGGCTTGGGCCCAGCACAGTAGCCTAGCAGCTAAAATCCTCACCTTGCATGCTCCAGGATCCCATGTGGGCACCAGTTCTAATCCTGGCGGCTCCACTTCCCATCCAGCTCCCTGCTTATGGCCTGGGAAAGCAGTCAAGGTCAGTCCAAAGCATTGGGACCCTGCATCGGCGTGGGAAACCTGGAAGAGCTCCTGGCTTAGGATCGACTCAGGTCCAGCCATAGTGGCAGCTTGAGGAGTCAATCCACAAACGGAAGATCTTCCTCTCTGCCTCTGCTCCTCTCCGTATATCTGACTTTCCAATAATAATTTTAAAAAGATAATTTGGCTTAAAACAGAATACTGGTTATATATTCTCCATAGTAAAAAAAAAAAGTTGAGTCTTATCTGTAACAAAAGTCACATATCTGAAGTTATTAGACACAACTGCTTTTACTTGTACTACTCCTTTGCCAAACCTGTAAGCTTAAGTTTAAATTAATGAATATTAAGTGGACTAAGCCTCTAATACTATTTATACATCTTGTGTCATTATATAGCATCTTACTTAATAAATCCTATTTGAGATATGCAGTAAACAACTCATTTGCTTTCAGTGTTTTCCATGGCAACTGCCCTTAACAAGATCCCCAGACACCACCTGAACAGAACCAGCTTGAGCAAAAACACTAAGCCTCAGTCTCAGGAAATTTTCTAGTGCAAGTAAAATCAAAGGCGCTTTTCTTTCCACGCCAGCTCTTCTCTCCCATTTATTATGACTGATACAGCTAACAACTGCAGAAATCCAGCTAACTACATCAAGTCTCAATTAGAAAGTCAAGCCACACTACGCTGCAGGTCAAATAACAAAAGCATACAAGATGCCCGAGTCTTGTCGTAACTCCAGTTTCACTCCCGACCGTAATGGATTCGTTCATAGGAAAGCTTGATATAATGTGAGCTCTCGCACTTTTTTTTTTTCATACATGGCAATGAATGGAAACCAAAAATAACAGTTTAAATTACTTTTTGAAATCTTACCTCTGTAAGTCGAACTATCATCACTTTTATTTTCACTAAGGAGCCGGCACAAATGCAAACTAGAAAAAAAAAACAGAAAGAATTCATATCAATTCCCGATACTAGCTCTCATGATTCTGCATAGCAAATTACATCAACTAAAAACACACAGAAATACATCAAATGTTTTAATTCATTCGTTTACAACGACAAACTTTATGAACTCTAACTAGCTAAAGCTGAAGGATGTTAGGCTACACAGGCAAGTCCCTGCTGCCATGTCGGCCCCCTACATAAGCACCAATTCAAGCAGCTCCACTTGCGACACAGCTCCCTGCTAGTGACCGGGCAAGGCAGAAGGTGAGTGCTTCATGTGCAAACTGGGTGTAGCACTGACCGCTGGCTTTTAGAGCGTGAAATGAGCATCACTGCGGGGCAGAGGAAAAGTTTGATGAATGGCTATTAAGCTACTGCTAGAAGGTACAAAGAAAGTTACGGTGCTCGGTGTACTAGGGTAACGGATAATAATACTGTATATTTATCTTCAAAAACAAGAAAGAAATTAAATATTTTAACCACAAAATGTTAAACATCTGAACAGATAGTTACTCTGATTTGAACATTACACAGCATATACATGTACTGAAATATAATATACTATCCCATAAATACATTTTTATGTGTCAAATTAAAAATATTTTCAAATAAAATACAACAGTGCTTAAGGACTTTCTTTAGGCAGGATAACAATGCTGAGCTGTGGAAAAAAAACTTATATAAAGATAATTCTGGAAGATATTAACAATAATTTTAGTAATGTCTTACAGTATTTAAATAAAATTCTAAATATACATATATAGCTATAAGGAAATACTGAAATACATCAAGACTAAACTGGGTTTATCCCAAACACAAAATGTTCTTCCAAAATAATTTACCACATTCTTTTTCAACATCACATCATAGTTCAGTAGATGTATAAAAAAGATTCCACAGAATGCAAAAGTTGTTACTTTTCAAACTTGAAAGATTCTTAAATACTCATGGAAAAGAACTCCCCGTATTATCTACTTTAATCTGCTTAAAAGCTAAAGTGACACTGAAAAAGATCAACAGAAACAGGAGACAGAGCTTCCAACTGCTGGTTTACTCCTCAAATGTCCGAACTACCCAGAGACAAGCCAATGTCAGGAGCACAAAAATTCCACTTGGGCCTCCCAAAAGCCTAGCGGAACCCAAGTACTTTGGCTACCACCTGCATATCCCAGGGTGCAAATTAACAGGAAACTAGATAGGAAGTGGAGCAGACACTCAAACCCACGCACTCTGATACGGGAAGCAGGCATCCCAAGAGGTGTCTTTGCTACGTCAAAAACCTGCCACCCCCTCGGGGTTTACAGCATTGCTTCGCACACTAACCCTCCACCTGCAATGTCAGCATCCCATATCAGCACAGGTTTGTGTCTCAGCTGCTCCACTTCTGATTCAGCTCCTTGCTCATGGCCTGGGAAAGAAGCAGAGGGTGGCTCAAATCCTAAGGCCCTTGTATACATGTGGGAAGACCCGGAGGAAGTTCAGATCTGGTCAGCTCTGGCCATTGTGGTCATTTGGGGAACGAACCAGCAGGTGGGAGATCTTTCCCTCTTTCTCTCCTTCTTTCCGTAAATCTGTCCCTGAAATAAAAAATAATTTTTTAAAACATTTACTTTTTTATTGGAAAATTAAGTAACAAATATAGAGAGGAGAGACAGAGAGAAGGATCTTCCATCTGCTGGCCCACAGCCCAAGCGGCAAAACCGGTCTGAAGCCAGGAGCCAGGAGCTTCCTCTGGGCCTCCCATGCGAGTGCAGGGTCCCAGGGCTTTGAGCCATCCTTGACTGCTTTCCCAGACCACAAGCAAGGAGCTGGATGGGAAGTGGGGCCACCAAGACATGTACTGGCCACCCCCATGGGATCCCAGTGGTGTAAGGCGAGGACTTTAGCTGCTACACTACTGCACCAGAAAATACATAATTTTTTAAACCTGCCCCCCATTTATTATTTTTTAAGTGTAGAAGAGAATTCCTTTAACTGAATAAAGCAGCAATTCTGAGCATTTGCTTCATAAACTCCTGCTCCTGACCACTCACCCTGGAGATCCACAAAACTACACCCACAATACTAAAGGTAGATTGAGTTTATCCCGATTTCTAGACATTTGGATGAAGAGTCCAAAAGCAATAGAGTTGATCAGCCTTAGCATTTATTAATACAGTAGCAACAACTCTCCCACTAACTTCGGGAGCAAAAACTTTGAGAAGTCAGTCTCAAGATGTGATTTAAAATTTTCATTATATTCTTCATAATCGTGTACAAACAAAAGCCAGCTTATCTGTGAATGTTTTTAATGAGAGTATCAACAGAAAGATAAGAAACCCCAACCGTTCCTTCCTGGCACTAGAACACAGATTCAACAACAAATAAGCCAATTCCTTTACCAGAAATCAGTTAAGAGACTCCTACACCCAAGTTAAGTACCAAGTCACATGGAAGTCAGTGGAAAAACTCATGGCACACTCTATCCATATTCTCTCCCCATAGCACGTGAACCCAGGAGGCAGCAGCCTCATCCAGCTCTCTAACATGGCTGTCAGGGCCCCAAGCACTTGGGTCATTATCTACTGTTTTCCCAGGTGCATCAGCAGGTAGCTGAATCAAAAGTAATGCAGCTAGAATGCAAATTATTGCCTATTTGAGACCCAGTATTGCATATTTCGACTTAACACAACAGGTCACAGTTCTACCTTGCCTTTCTTGAAATGTGGCATAACCTGGAGACCTAGGAAGTATTAAGACCAGAACCACACTGGGTGACATGCTGCTCCTCCAGCTCTCAACAGTGCAGGCAATGGATAGCACAACTCAGCAGTCGTTCCTTCAGAGGAAAAACGACAAGAGAAGATCATCTTTCAGACTGCTTGAGATATTGGCTTCAGTCTACACTGATTCAGGTTGCTAACAGATCCTACCATACACAACACCTAGGGCTCAATGAGAACAAAAAGAGAACTGAACAGCGCACTGGCATTTCAGAGAACTGGCAGTACATCAAATGGACACCTGAGAGAATAAGAGATTAGGAACCTCTGGGGAAAAAAAGCCTGGAAAAATGCCTCTCTTACTGTAATCTCAAAGCACAAGTCTGAGAAGAAACACCACAGAAATTTTTAAGTTTCGCTGAATCTCAAATGTGTGATTAGAGAAGTACTCCTGTGCAAAGCCAGTGTATAGAAGACTAGAAAAGATGGCTTTTCAAATATGCACATATCAACACAAAGTTAACAAGGAACATGAACACAGAGAACGACATGATCGATCAAAATATCAAAATAAACCTCAAGAAACCAACCCTAAAGAAACAGAGGTCTGTGGAGCACCTGACAAAGAATTCAAAATAACTATCTAAAGATGTTCAACAAGTAAAGGCAAATGATGCACAAGCACAATGAAAAATCTCAACAAACTATTTAAAAGGACCACAGAGAAGTGTGGAAACTAAAGAATACAGTAACTAAACTGAAAAATTCACTAGAGGGATTCTACAGTATACTTCATCAAACAAAAGAACTCAAAAGACAGGTGATTTGAAAGTACCCAGAGAAGCAAAATAGGATGAGAAAAAAAGTGAAGAATGCCCATAGAAATTCTGGAATACTACCAGGTAGACGAATATGATTGGGAGTTTCAGGAGAAGAAAGGGGGGAATCAGAAATCTTAAAGAAATAATAAACATTGTGTACAATAGTGAAGAAATACAAAAAATGACCAAGGGTGGCTATGCTTGCATAAGACAAAATAGATCTTCAGTCAAAAACGGTCATAACAGGGCACAGAATTGTAGAGTAGTGGATCAAGCTGTCTCCTGTGACAGTAACATGCCTTGAGTACCAACTGGAGTCCCAGCTGCTCTACTTTGCATCCAGCTCCCTGGTAATGTGCCTAGGAAAACAGCAAATCCTTGGCCTCCCGTTGCCCATGTGAAAGACCTGAGCCCTGCTTTCAGCTAGCCAGCTCTGGTCATTGCAGCCCTTTGGGGAAGATGGAATGCACGGGCACTCTCCTTCATGTGCATGCACTCCCCCTGAAACTAGCCTTTCAAATAAACGAATTTTAAAACTATCACTACAAACAAAGAAGGATGTCATTTATAGGAAACAAACCAGCCAATGCATCAAGAAATGATGATTTTAAACTTGTGTGTGTGTGTGTGTATTAGACCTGGCCTAATCTCAACAAATATATAGGCATTTGGAGAATGAACCAGTAGATGAATGGGAGAGATTTCTCCCTCTGTTTTTCCAATATTTTTTTTATTTTAAGACAGAAGATAATAAATGTCAGTGAAAACAGGACTCTTAGACGTTGCTGCTAAGAATGTAAACTAATGCAGTCATTATGGAAAACTACAGTAGCAGTCCCAAAAAAGCTAAAAATAGAACTATCATATGATTTAGCATTATCACTTCCAGGATTAGAAGTTAGTATATCAAGTAGATATCTGCACTTTCACAATCACTACAACATTATTCACAGTAGTCCCATAAGCGAATGAACCTAAATGTCCAACAATTAGGTGAATGAACAGAGAAAATATAATATAAAAACACGATACGAACCAGCCTGTAAAAGGAGGAAATTCTGTCATTTGAAAAGCATGGCTAAACATGAAGGTGGTTCTTCTAATTTCTCATCCCAAGAAATAAAAACATTTCTTGAAATTTCTCATTTCAAGCCAGGCACAGAAGGACAGGTACCATATGATTTCACTTCTCTGCAGAAGCCAAACCACTGGGGCTCAGAGAAGCAGAGAACAGGCGGAAACTGAGAGATGAACTCACACGAAAGTGTCAGCCAAAGGATATCAAGATTCAGTGAGCGAAGCTGTCAATTTTTAAAGATCTTTGGGCATAGCATGCGACCAGTTTAGTAACAATATATTCCATGATTTCAAAATTGTTAAATTTCAAATGGTCACAACACATCAAAGTGCTCTGAGCTGAAGGATGTACTTTACCTGGAATTAATCAGTCCACATTGTATA